CACCCATTCGTGGCAACAGTTTGTTGGTGTTTGGCGGGATGGTGTTTACCAACAGGATAATGCACCATAATGTCATAAGGGTCGAATCGTCGAGGAACATTCCAGTGACTTTCAAGTCATGTCTTGGCCCCCAAATTCACCTGACCTTAATCCAATAGAGCATTTGTGGTCCTACTTGGAAAACCAAATTCGTGCTGCCACGCTACCCCCTCGCAATGTGAGGGAATTGCAGGACCAGTTGGTGAGCGCTTGGTACCAAATACCTCAGACTACCTATCAGCACCTTGTGGAATCAATGCCACGGCGGGTGCTAGCAGTTTTGAGGGCTAAAGGTGGTCCTACATGTTATTAGCAGGGTGGTCATAATGTAATGGCTCTTCGGTGTATATTTGTATTAATTGTATATAGTAAGTGTCATCCTGAAAAAGTATTGATCCTAAAGAGTTGTAAACAAGTATCTTTATAGTTTTTTTTATTATTAAGGAAAATAGTTCCTTCATAATTAATGTTTTCTCCCTTTCTCTCAGCCTCTTATAATTTATTTAAAATAAATATTTTAAGATTGAAGTATATTCCCTGTTGAATCTTATTTAGCGCTGAAGGGGTTTTGTTTTAATTTTAATCATCTCTAACCCTTCCTTTTTTTAAATCAAAATATTTAACTTACATTTATTTTAATAACTAGAATGTTTATTTTTTTAAAATTTAATTCTATGAACAACTTTTTTAATGTTAAAATTTATGTTTAAATGGATTTTTGCATTACGTAATATGATAAAAAAAAACTTGAATTTTCCCAATGTGTTTAATTATATAAATTTTTCTGAATCATTTTTTTCTGATAAATTGATTCTGGTTCTATTTTCCCCCCCTAAGTTATCAGTTTCGCAGTTTCTAATTTTAAACATTTAAAAGTCTTTAATTTTATGCAAATATATTACAACGTTAACTAAAAAAAATTATTTCGTGCCTAGAACATTAATGTTTGTATAACAATCACTTCCGACAATTACTGTCAACATGTCTGTCTAAATACTTTGGCATGCGGCCCTTCATTGGTCAATCTGCTGTGCTTGTGGCCCTTCACTCAAAAGGTTGTGGCAAGGGATCAAGACAAATTCAAGCCCAAGGCCCACCAAATTCGCCGGGACCCTTAGAAAATATTTTGAAATTAAATTACTGAAGTTTACATTATATTTTGAGTAATTAGTCCAAACAATAGAAAAGGGCAACTGAAGATTATTTTCTAAGATAAAGTTTATGTATCTATGAATTAAAGCAAAATATAAAACAACATAACAATGCTATGTTAAAATAAAGTAATTACTTTGGTGACCACATACAATTGAAACCAGTGATTTTTGCTGAAAAGTCACTGATTAGCAGAATTATTTTTTTAATGTAAGCTGTAATTATTTTTTTATTTAGTACTTAAACCAACACAAAACTATCTCACCGTTCATTAGATTTTTTACCAATTTTTGACGCCCCTCAGAAATTATGGGCCCTAGGCCCATGCCTATTTGGCCTAGGCGATAATCAGGTCCTGTAACCCTATATCAGAGTCCCCCCCGCCTCCCCCGCCAACGACGAACATGCCCACTCAGCTTCATAATGATGGGTTCCAGCTTTCTTGGGAAATAAAGGTGGCGTGTGCGCAAAGATGACCACATTGCCACCATCATGGTCATGGAATGGTGGAGCTTTTGCCTGCTCAAAGGGGCTGTCACAATGCTTTTATTACACAATTTCAGAAAAGCGTACATTTCTACAATTTAACTTATGCGATACAGAGGTAACATTGACGCGAAATCATACTTTTCGATGTTTTGTTTCATTAAAATAAGTCCCACAAAACAAACGCTCATCCAAGTCGATACAATGAATCTCACTTCGATGACAAAAACATCAAACAAACAACAAGTCACCTTTTATTTTATTTAAAAAAAATTTTTTTTTTTTTAGAATTATTGCAAAATAGCATTTGTAGAAATTTTATGTAGTGAGTCACACATAAATATTTGACGAAGAGACAAAATATTCGCTTAGTCTGATCGTGGGAATAATTTTCCCATCTCAGTTTTAGAAATTTTTATTTTTTAAAATTAATTTATTCCTTTTTAGAAAACATTTTGTTTACGCGACTGTTCATAATTATAAGAAGGCCTTTAAATCACCTTTACAGCCAGTGTTCATGAAATTAAAATTTAGGTTTATTGACCAAAAAGATTTTTTTTTAGAAGCATGCTATTGAATTTATGATGCTGATAGAAAATTTCTAAGTCCATGCTACCGAAAAAAAATTATGTATTTTGTCGTTAGGTTAAAAAAAAAATGCTCTACAGTATGCAAAATAATGGTAACTATAATAATGATAAATAAACAAAGAAAATCATCAAAATTCCAATGAACTAACTAATAATAATTATTTTTTCACCACAAATCCATCAAAAAACTTTTTTCTCAAACATTTTAGATAATCAAAGCTATGATACATAATTTATTGCAATAACAACTTTCTCTGAGTATTGAGAATGTATTAAATCTTAATGGAGTTATGTAGAAAAATATTATTATTTTACACTTTAAAACATCATTTAATATTTTAGTTCGCTTAAAAAAAAAAGTTTTCTAGAATTTAAAAAGTATAGAGCTTTAATTATTCTTGATACCTACTTAGTTTTATTCAATAATTTTCACACTTTCATTTAATTTTGATTAAGTTCGAATATCATCAGAACCAAATTTAAATACTCTTATTTACTGTCAGTTTTTTTAAAAAAAAATTTAAATGAAGTTCATTTGTTTTAATATATTTAATTCATTTCATTATTAATAATTGCAATCAATATAACATAGAATTTATTTCTGTATCCAGGTTATGTTGGAGTCGCCAAGTACTAAAAATAAACCAAAATTATTCCTGAAGTGTTGGTTTATTGATTTGTATCATATCAGAGCATAAGGTATTCTTTAAAAAAAAATAAATAAAAAATATCAGCTCATGCATGATGTCTGTAACATTCACGTTCTCTTTTGAAAAAAATTATTGTTTATTTTTATCATATATATTTTTTTTTCTTTCTTCCCATTCGTGTACTCATGATTTTGTTGCGTGTCCATTAAATGACCGTACCGAGACGAAAAATTTGCGATGCGGGTATTGGTAGTGCATTACCACGTGACGAGTGAGGTGATAGGAATTCGTCGTTCTGATTGGCTGTTTATCCTTTGGTCGCACATCGGATCATTACAGCGGCATAGATAGATTCTCATCCGGAGGAATATTAAAAAAGATGCGGCGAATTAGCCGGTAGTTATTATTTCTTAACAGCTGATTCAGGCTATATGTGTATTATATTTTCTGTAATTATTGAAGGATTTATTCATTTCTTGTACAAATAAGTAAGTCTGTAAATTTAGAATTATTAAATCATTTGACTTAATGAATATATTTTGTAAGTTTGCTAAAATAATACCTAATGCGATTTAAAAAATAGTCGTTAGTTATATATATTTGTATTTAAATAATCCGAATTATAGCTTTGAATTAACGAATTTATTTTCTATAATTTAGAATCATTGAGTGTTTAAAAAATTTTTTTGTTTTTACTTTGTTTCCATTTTGATGAATTGCTAATTGTATAAATTTATTCACTATAAAAAGTTCAATGAATAATGAAAAGTACTTTTTATGAATTTTTTTGTTTTATAGGCTTTTATAATTTGATATAAAATTATTCAGTATTTTATGAATTTCTTTCTATTTTTTAGCTGTTAAGTATTTTAGCAAGTTTAAATTGAATTTTTAATTTAAAATTTATAAATCATTTCAAATTCTATGAAAATATAAAATTTAGAGGTAGAGGTATTTTGAGTTAGAGGTAAAAAATATTTTATTGAAAAAAATCAATTTTACTTATTTTTTTAAATTTAATTAATAAATTTAAATATTTGGAATGTGCTTATTTTACCTGAATGTCAACACTCTTATTTAAACTGGAATTAAAATGCTGCCAAATACTGATTGTGACAGCTTCATGAGTGACAAAATTTAAAACTAACCTGAATTTTGAACGTTTATATCACGAACATAATTGTAAACATCTTTTAAAAATTGTGAATTGATAAATTATTATTTATTAAGAAGGTTTTTTTTCCTTTTTTTCTTTTAAGCAATGAAATTAAATTTCAGTTTGTAATTCTTATAATTTTAAAAATATTAAGTAAGCAGCAACATGTTTTATAAAGTTAAGAATACTTTTACGTCTATTAAAATTAGAAATTGCTAAGCTTAGTAAAATTTTTGAGACATTAAAAAGAAATATATTTTGAGAACTTTAATATATATTTTATATAATTATATGCATTAAATATATTTTTAAGTTTAATATATTTTTAATATATAAATAAATTTAAAACATTTTATTTCTATACTTTAAAATTGTATTTTTAAATTGATTTATATGAAATATAATTTTTGACTGTTTAATAAAATAAAATTTTTCGGTTTTTACTCCAACCAATTTAATTAAAATTATCACAAATATTTTTTTTTTAGTTATAAAAAAATTTGTATGTACAATGTAAATAAAATATAGTTTTTAATTTCCTAAAAGAATATTTTCTTGAAAGCGATAGGTTGCATATCATAAATATAATTAATATATATCATTTTGTTATGCTTTTAGATTATCTCCAGCTTATAAAAATTTATTTTTAAAGTTAAATTCTAAATCTGTAGTTCCTGGCGCCATCTATCCATATTACTTCAAACGAAAAAAGCTTATGAGAATAAATGTGTCATTATTTTAAATAAGAAAATTTAATTTAAAAATGCCTATTAAAATGTATAGTTCTTTCTCTTACAGTACTTTTTAAAATTTTTTTATTTAGTAATAAGTTTTTCTTTGTAAAAAAAAATATAAACGAAACCCATAAAAATATTACCCATTGATTAGGAGCATATTAAAATTCTTGTTAGAATCAGTTTTGTTATTAAATATTAAGCATTTATTGTGACAAATAAAAAAATGTAATTTTTAAAATATTTGAAGTAAAAAAAATATGTCATGATTTGCTAGGGTGTGGCTACAATTTATACCTAAAGAATATATCTCCCGTGTTATTTTGTGTGCCTTTGCCAGGTTGTCACCAAAACTTGGTATAGGTTCCTAAGCTTTCATTTAACACCTGTTTGCGCCTACTGCCACAAGATTGAAAATTTAAAAAAAAACAATGTATGCTTGCCCAACTGTCGCTGAAAGATCTACTCTTTTAAATATATACACTTGTTATGTTTCTTATGCCACCAGCTGTCGCCAAAACTTGGCGATTTATTTGGTGTATGTATTGTAGAGCTTTCTTTATTTTCTTCAATATATATATTCTTTTGTAATTATTTCGTATTATTTTAGAAAGGTATTTTTAGAATAAAAGTTTTTTCCCCGTTTTATATATATATTTTCTCATTTTTATGAGAAAATATACCAGTGAAATTTCCTGGCCTCTCATCACTGTAGAGGCCCTCTTCAGTGTTATTGTTCAGAAAAATGAGAAATAGAAGGAAAAAAAACTGAATATGAGAAAGTAGTTTTAGGCAATATATTTTTAGTATTCAGAAGAAAAAAAAGCAGTAACTCTTTTTGTAATCTTTTGGACAATAGATTATAAAACAATCTGTAATACTTGATATAATTACAGTTTTCAATGTTGCATCATGGCCAATGTACTTTACCCTATCAGATCTCTTCTTTTTTTTTTACCACTCTATAGAAAAATTTAATTGGATTTAATAAATTTCTGAAAAATTTATGCAAAATTTTAATTTTTGTATAAATTTATTTTTTTAAACTGAAGTGTTCTTTGTTTTTGTAACCATGCTCCTTGACCCACAGGCCATATGCATTCATCCTCTTTGCTCCCTCCCCTTGACTTAACCCCTGCTGTCCAGTGTCAATATTTTAAAACTTGAAATTTTATTAATTTTGAAAAATGTAAAAAGAGAAAGGTAACTTAAAAAAAAGAGCTATTAATTTTGAAAAATGTAAAAAGAGAAAGGTAACTAAATAGAAGCTATAATTTTGAAAAATGTAAAAAGATAAAGGTAACTTATAAAAAAAAAGCATAACATTTTTATTTTGTAATTATTACTGCCTTTTGATCTAATTTCTTCTTTCTTCATTTCAGAAAACGAAGCCAATTCATTTTGTATAAATTTCATTTTCATTGAAGAAATACTTATTTATTTAACATTCCATGATGGATTCTGAAGTTGTGATTACTGGAATTTCTGGTAGATTTCCTGAATCGGACAGTATTGCTGAATTCAGTGATAATTTATTTAACAAGGTTGACCTTCTCACTGAAGACAACAGAAGATGGGAACCTGGTCAGTATATTTTGATAATATCCTATTTTCAAATAAATAAAATTTTTTTTTATATAGATAAATAAACCTATTAACATCCCACCTTTAGGTACATTACCTCTAGTCAGATTGCTATTGTCTGAATTACTGTTTTTACTTTTTTTATTTTAAATTTTTATTGTCTTTTAATTTAATTATAGAATATTGCTTAAATATTTAAAAAAAATATCCTGAATTATTCTTTGATGTATTTTAAAATTTAATTTTATATCATTAGCATTTTAGTGGAATTTTTTTGTTTTTATTTTAGCTGCTTATTACCACAGAGTGCTTTTTAGATAATTTTGCTCAAAATTGGGTCAAATTACGTAGTTACGAGCTGAAAAATCATTAAAAAATTTTTGCAAACTGGATTGCATTGTTTTAAGGACTGACATTATCATCTAAAACAAAAATATAACTAATTTCATTAAATATTTTTTTACCAGCATTAAGTTATTACAGTCTACAATAATTATGATTTATATTGTAAATTGTTTGTAAAAAATATAGCCAAAATTATTGAAACAATTAATTGGTTTTTCTGAAAACACAGAATTCAAAATATTTTAAATCAATATTATTTCTTATATTATAACTATTCAGTTTATATAAAAGGTAATAACTATGAGTTGTTAATTATTATCAATCTAAATTTAGTTCTTTGATGCCACAATATAGGCAGTTTTTTTAGATTAGGTAAAACTGGTCGGCAATAATTGTCTAATCTCCACTTAAGCTCATTTTTGATTCTCGACATTTGTTGTTATTACTTATATGTAAGGGAGTAGTGTATGATTAATCTTCAGCCATGTTGGGTCTTTTTAAAACATTTCTACAAAATTTTTTAATGTTAGAAAAATGTGTCACTCTGCAAATTTTTTCCTTTTTAAAACAATTTGTGTATTTATTATTTTGAATTCCTTAAGTTTATGAGAGGGACTTTAAATTTAAATTGATAAATTATTACTATTTCAATATATTTTTATTTTTATTGTATTTATCGGATAGGCTCTTTTATTCAAGAATTGTATAAAATACTAATTTTTTTTCATTATATAAACTTGAATTTCCAAAAATATTTTGAACAAAAAGTTATTGTACTGTTAAAAAAAACAAAGAGGAAAACCTCTAAAATTTTGGGGAAATATCAATCTAAAGGAAAACTTGGTATGAAGAAATATTAGGATCTGAGAATTTTCTACACTCCTAATTATATGTACATGGATATTCCCAGATGGTTAAACTAATTACAACGCACAAACGTTTGTTTAAATGAGTTCATAACATAATTTTTTCAATCAATAAATTTAAGGATTTAATTAAATTACTATCAATATTTATAGTTATTAGAACAAATTTCCTAATTACATATTATTTTATAATTATGTTATAATAGTTTTAGTATGTCCATATTACAGTCTGTGCAGCTCAGCATCAATCAAAAGAATAGTTACGAATTTCGACCTTATTTATGCAAAACTGAAAAATGAACTTGGAGTACAGAGGGCTTCGAAGTTACTTTTTTGTAATTGCATGCTTCGGGGAAAAGGGGAGCTAAATTGGGAATATGAGAAAACTGATTTTACAAATAATGAATAAGATAATCGTTATGCGTTTTTATTTTTACGATGATTGTTTTCGTATTTTTATTTTCAATGGAAAAAATAAATAAATAACAGATTGGATGAATTGAAATTTTACACATTTTTATTTATAATTATTTTATATTTTCTTCACCAAAATTTTTGACAGTAACTGTCAAAGCGAAAAGAGAGTTTAATATTAAAATAGTTCAGGTACATAATTGATTGATCCCTTGTATTTTTATGTGTATGTTTATTTATAAATACTTCATATTTATAATAGCCAATTATCCATGCACTAAAATTTTGGGTTTTTGACAACTCGGCAGTTAATACATTGAAGTGATGCTTTAGTTAAAAACTACTAATTTTTAATAATTCCATAGGTCTTTATGGTTTACCAAGAAGAATGGGAATGCTGAAGGATATTACAAAGTTTGATAACCAATTTTTTGGAGTGCATCACAAACAGGCTCATCAGCTTGATCCACAAATCAGAGTTCTTTTAGAATTGACTCACGAGTCAATAGTTGATTCAGGTATTTTTTTATTATTATTCCTGTTATAATTTTATAAATATGATTTGTCTTAATGTAAGTGAACATTGTTTCATTTGTTTATAGATTTTTTTCTAACTTTGAATAGCCATTTGCATACCTAACTGTTTCTATGGTGTTATGCAGACCATATGACAACTGTCTGGTTAAAGGTTCTACGAATACTGAAATCATAAATTTGTATCATGTCGCTTAAGTGCAATTGAAAATGAAGGAAACTATTTTTTGCTGAATATTATCGATTTCTGCATAATGTTGAAATAAGAAATTGACCTAGACTGCTCAATTTGCTAGTATGATAGCTCCATGTTAAGTTGAAACGATATGAATGAATATTTGTAAAAATTAAAATAGAGTGAATAATATGAATGAAAAAACAGGGTGATTTTTTTCTTTTGTCTTGAGTTGTTTTTACCAAAATTTTGTGAATCCAGAGACCCCGAAACCAGGGGGGGGGGGACTTCAACCCCTTCACATTTTGTAAATGAATGGATACAGCCCCTTTTAAAATTAAAAAATATCACTCATTATTTGTGTAATTAAATTTACAATATGAAAAATAGATAATTTTTTGGTGTCTAGCGAAATTTAAAAAAAATAAATTTAAATAGACTTTCTGAAAAAAATATCTCCATTTCAAGCGAGTCTTAACATTTACTTGGTGAAATCTCTTATCAAATCATCCCTTACTTATCCTCACACAGAGGAAATATACGTTCCTATTACTGACCGATGGGGAAAAGTCTTCATGTCCCATCGAACATATTAAAAAAATAACGTTACATGAGAGATAAATAATTTACAAGTACATATTTTCTGTTATTAATTTTATTTTAATTTTAAAACAATTCGAACCACAAAGTTAAAATTGCAAGTTTGAATTTTTTATTGCCATTTTGTGTGGTTCAGATAATTTGGATTAATATTAAATAATAATTTGGTTAATACTATTTATATAAAATAGTATTAACCAAAGTTAGTAAAAGTTAGTGTTCTTCAGAAAAAAAAGAATATAAAAAAATATAATTATTTTCTTAAATAGTCAAATAGACTAATAGCTCACTTTATTTTTGCCAGGGTATGATCCAGAAGAGCTTAGAGGGAAGAATATTGGCGTTTTCATTGGTAACTGTTCTTCTGAAAGTGATGAATACTTCACTCGAGATCCAAAGAAAATTAATGGTTACGCTATGACTGGTTGCTGTAGAGCCATGTTTGCCAACCGCATATCTTACACTTTTGATTTCAAAGGTATGAGTTAAGAGTTATTATTGAATTTGCGACTCAAGTATTATATTCTAAGTGATTTAACAATTATTATTATTAAAATATTATTAAATTAAATGGTAAAAATTAGCAATTTAAGTACCAATGCTTCACCATTTGATATTTATTTTTTTAAAAAAATTATTTGAAAAAGTTTAAAAATAATGAGAAAGATAATTTTTCACATTTTTAAAGAGATTTGGAGTAGGGAGGATAGTTACATAAAATTTTCACTTCAATATGTATCTATGAATAAATTAATAAAGAATTAATTACTTTAAAAACCTTCAATGTTTTATATTTTTACTCAATACCTCAAGTTACAAACAAGGTTTTTTTTTTCTCTCCTTGAAATATATCTTTCAGGCTGCAATGTACTAACAAACTCTTAAATTACTCTGCAAGTTGATCATCTTGCTGCGCTGACGCTTATTATAATATAAATAGATAAGTCCTTTACCTTGCACTTGTTTCAGAAACAAAGGTTTTTGTAAAGTAAAATTGAGGTTTTACAGTAATTGGCACGAACAAGTTTTTTCTCTGCTGTAGTTCATTGAACACAATTGAACTTCAAACAGTCCCTCGAATATGCTAGAGCATTTCTGTGAAGAATTAAACCACAGCTTTAAACTTTCAATAAAAATTTACTTATATGTAATACTAACACCCTGCAGCGACCAGCAGGTTGACCTAAGTGTATTCGCTGCTTCTTGTCTATCTTGGTCAAACGTGTTCAAATGGCTAATAGCCACAATAATTACAAAATATCTAAATGAATCTTTTTTTTTCTTTTCTTATAATCCCATAAAGAGCATATAGACTAAATATAAAATATTTATCTTGGTAAAAAACGCATTGTTTAAATTTAAGGTCAATTTTTAGTGCCTACGATATATCTGCAATCCGGTATATAGACACACACACAGAAACACTAATTCTTTATTTTATTATCTGTATAGAATTTAATAACACGACGACTTAAAAAATTTTACAAAAAAAATTATTTGCTGTTCAGACATACTAGCAATCAAACTTAATTGCCATGTTTATTTCATGAGTTATTGCACATTAGATTTTAAGAAATAGCTTTTAATTACCCTGTATGATACTTTGATTTTTTTATCATTTTTACACCATCTTTCATTGCAGGTCCAAGTTTCTTGATGGACACTGCATGTTCATCTGGCGCATTAGCCTTATATGAAGCTGTCCGTGCTATGCAAAACAACGAATGTGAAGCGGCTATCGTTGGAGGAGCTAACCTATGTTTAAGGCCTGGAACTGCACTACAGTTTTACAAATTAAACATGCTTTCTGATGATGGCATGTGCAAATCTTTTGATGCTGCTGGTAGGCATATTTTAAATTTTTTTTGGGGGGGGGAACTATTAAATACTGTACTAAAATTGTTCTTATGTATATATACTGGGAAACTTCAATAATTTAAAGCAGAGCCATGGTGGCTTAAGGGATTGGGCGTTCGCCTTTCAATGAAGTAAACCTGGTGTAGGGTCCAACCTACCTTAATAAGAAAGTTTCCATAGGTGACAACTAATAACTAAAGGAAATAGCTGATAAACAATAACAGTTTTTATAGTAAACAAAAATAATAATAACGAAAACAGTTACTTAAATCATTCCGAATGAATCATGATGTTCCAAAATATGGTTACAATTAACCATAAAACAATAGTTATCAAATCATAGTTAAATTACAAAAAACAATGAGCACGAGAGCTTAAACGAAAGGTTAAGTGAAGTGTGTGCGGGGGGAACGGAGTTGCCGCTACTAGTGAAACTCAAAATCGCCAACGGCGCCAACACCTGGTTCGAATACCAGCAAAAGCTGGTCAATATGAGTTCTGCACCTTAATTGCACTGACCACAGTGTTGATGTAAAATACCCTCAGTGGTATACAGATTGTGGGTTATAGTCCCTTAGATATCAGGCTAACCATGGAAGGTTTTCCTCTCCATGTAACTCCCATGTGGGTTAGTTCCATCAAAAAGTCCTCCACAAAGGCAATAATTGATCCAGGAGTTGCCCTGTCTTCAGGATTGGGTTCAAAATTACAAGGCTACGGAGTTGAACATTGGTAGTTGTAAACCCAAAATTGGGTCGGCTGTTTAACGACAGTTATAAGATAACTTAAAGCACAATTGGTAACCAACAAAATGTTCTGATTTATCGAAATTCAATTTATCCAAAATTGAATGAAATGTCCAATTATAACATGAAGACAGTAAAAGATGCACTATATATTTTTTTTAACTTTTGAAACTGTCAAAAGTTTCCAAATTCAAGATTGGTACCTTTGTGCTCTCCATTGCCCTTTTCCTCTTCCTCAACGAGGTTACATTCATCTCTAGAACTTAAATTTTTAATACCTGTTTCTTTTTTCCAAATTGCTGATGCTGTAGAAAAAATTGAATTGGCCTAATGCTAAATCTGCATTGTAAGGAGTTCTAAAAAAATTGAAACAAAATAGAACACATTAAGTAAGTAATATATCATGTAAAAAACAGAAAATAAAATGTAAAGAGAAAACAGAATGAAATCTATAAAGCGAGTAGCGAATTCAAGTGAACTTACATGTACGGGGGGAAGCTTTCAAGAATGATTCAAAATATTTTCGTCATAAGATTGCAAGATTACAAAATATAAAAAAAGAAGCGCAAATGGATTTAAAAGGGTAAATAGAGGAATTTTGTTTTACGGCACGTTCTTACTGTAGTACTGAAGCTGGTTTGATTTGTTAGTTACCTAGGATTGGCCCAAAAATAGATGTGCGCTAGGTAATATATACAGTAGGGAACCGATTATCCGGAACGATCGGGACCATCGCTATTCCGANATCTTTTTTTTTTTTGGGGGGGGGGGCTGTTTAATACTGTAATAAAATTGTTCTTATGTACAATATACAATAACTTAAGGGATAGGGCATTCGCCTTTTAATGAGGTAAACCTGATTCGAATATGAGTTCTGCACCTCACTTGCACTGGCCACAGTGTTGATGTAAAATACCCTCAGTGGTATACAGATTGTGGGTTAGGGTCTCCTTGATGTCAGGCTAACCATGGGAGGTTTTCCTATCCATGTAACTCAAAAACAGGTTAGTTCCATCAAAAAGTTCTTCACAAAGGTAATAATTGATCCAGGAGTTGCCTTGTCTTCAGGATTAGGTTCAAAATTACAAGGTTACAGAGTTGAACATTAGTAGTAGTAAACCCAAAAGTGGACAAAATTGGGAATAACTTAAAGCACAATTGGTAACCAACAAAATGTTCCAATTTATCGAAATTCAACTTATTCAAAATTGAATAAAATGTCCAATTTTAACATGAAGACAGTAAAAATTGCACTACAATTCTTTTCTTTTTCTTTTGAAATTGTCAAAAGTTTTCAAATTCAAGATTGGTAGCTTTGTGCTCTCCATTGCCTTGCTCCCCTTCCTCAACGAAGTTACATTATCTCCAAAACTTAAATTTTTGGAGATGACTGGAAAAAAAAAAAAAATGTAATTTGAAGAGACGTTAAGAGTTAGAAATTGTTTTAAATTGAAATTGTTTTAAATTAAAATTGAAACACTCGATATAATTTTAAACTATATTCGCTTGCACGTTAAGTAACAAGAATTTTATTAGCTGGAAGCTGTGTGCATACAATTGCAGTAAAATCTCTTTTCTGTTTTTAATTCTTAATAGGTAATGGATACGGAAGGAGTGAAGCGATTGTTACTCTTTTTCTGCAAAAATCAAACATGGCAAGGAGAAAGTATGCATCCATTGTACATATCAAAACAAACACTGATGGATTTAAAGATCAAGGTAGTGTTTATATTTCACGTTTTTATGTATAATGTAATTTCGCCATTTTGTTCCCTTAATGTAACAATTTTTTCTCTCTCCAGGTATTACTTATCCATCTGCTGCTGTGCAGAAGCGTTTAATTCAAGAAGTTTATGAAGAATGCAAGTTGGATCCTCTGAGCATTTCATATGTTGAAGCACACGGCACAGGCACGCCGGTTGGTGATCCCATTGAAATGTCTGCAATTTCTGAAATTTTCTGCTCGGGTCGTGGTGAACCTCTTTTGGTTGGATCTGTGAAGAGTAACATGGGACATTCTGAACCTACTTCAGGTAAGTGTTATTTCTTAAAGGCTGCTGATTATTACTTGCTGTACTTTAGTTCAGAACCATCTTAATGGCGTCATGGCACAGAAACGTTTTGGATCCTTTTAATATGTCAGACTGTTTGAAATCGAACTAAATCACTTCACATACATAAAATAAAGCATTTTTAAGATATGCGATAATTTGAACAAACTTAAACACATTTTTATCTCCCCAAAAACTCAATGCACATAAAATAAAGCATTTTTAAAGTATGCATAATTAAAAAAAAATTTGGATGCTAACCAGTTGCAATCAGTAATAAAATAATTTTCAAAGCTAAGAAGCTAATTAAAATAATTAAATTAAAAAACATAAGGCTTTAACAAATCAAAAAAGTTATGAATTATTATGTCAAACTAAAGTCAGTTATTAAATTATCTTTCAATGCACATCAGACATAACTAGTTTAAAAGTTACTGTCTTCACTGTTAAAGTTACTGTGCTGTGTAATTCTAAACGCTTTCAATCATTACTTTAGTTAACTAATTAGGTATTAATACTAAACGGAATTGGTGGTGGTCAAGCATATCTAGAGAAATTAGTTGTGTATCCAAAAACTTAATTTTAACGTAGAGAAATAGATTTCAGTTGACCTTTCAAAATTTTCTGGTGATAAACTATTCAAATTACTGGTGTTTGCATGATAATCAATCATTATTTATAGAAAAAAAAATTCACACTTTTTACACGAGAATATATTTATTTAAAAAAATATATAATGGAATGTTTTTGCTCTTAGTTTTTTTTTTTTTTAATACCATATAAAAAAAGTAAGATTCTCAAGGCGTGAGGACGGTACTGTATGTTATACTTTTGTTTTATACTTATTTATTTGTGTCTTATATATGTTTGCAATTTTAGGGCTTTGCAGCATTGTTAAAGTACTTATAGCGATGGAAAAGGGACTTATACCTCCAAATTTACATTTCTACAATCCTAACCCTAACATAAAAGCACTTGTTGATGGTGAAGTTAAAATTGTGACAGAGCCCACGCCCTGGAGTGGCGGCTATGCAGCTCTCAGCTGTTTTGGCTTTGGTGGTGTCAATGTGCATGCTGTTCTTAAGTCCAATACACATCTTTCAGACAAGATAGAAGAAAGAACAATTCCTCAATTAGTTCTTTATAGTGGACGAACCGAAGAAAGCGTACAATATTTATTCGATGAATTGGACAAGAGTGCTGCGCCTGCAGAGTTCTATGCTCTCCTTCATAAAAGTGTTTTCACTTCAACAGCAAAACCATACCGAGGATATAAATTAATTGTCGAGGATCAAGTGATATCAGATATTAAGGTACCTCGATGAATATTTTTTATGTATAACATTCTTGTAATTATTAAATATTGTATTTCCTTAAATGCTAATGAAAATGTGTGTCTAGAAAAAAATATATAATCTAGAGTTTAATATATATATATATATGTTGCCTTGAATGACCAAAATTGTCGACTTTCGCCGGTGAATGTCAACAATCAAATAGTCGCTTTGGTGAATGCCTGAAATATTTGTTATTTCCCATCTGATGTTAATTTATTTATTGATATTATTATATTTATTCTATATTTTAATATCTACTAAGGATAGATTAGGAGAAACATTATTGTCTGGAGCGCTGGTTAAATGTGCAGTGGCATTTGATCTTAAAAAACATTGATATATATTTAGTATATGAGTATTATATATATGAGTATATATTTCAAACATTCACAGTAACATATATATATCTATATATAAATATTGAGTTAAGCTAAAAATATTGCGAAAACCTGAGAAAGAATGTAAAATTAAAAAAAAAATTATTAAACATTTTATTAAAAAAATGTTAAAACTTTAAAAAAAAACTAGAAAACAAATAATTAAATGGTGTTAATTATATATAATATAAATATGTCTATATATATGGATAAAATTTTATGCCTGTAGTTACATCCTTTCAATTTTTTGTGATAATCTATTTTTTGAATGAGGAAAGAAAGGTGTAAGACGGTAAAGAAAGACTGTGGAATAATTTTTATTTTATGTCATAGCAGAGATATATAGTTGAAGTTGGGAGTATGAGAGTTACTGAAAAAAACTTTCGTTTTTGTAAAAAGAAAATGTAATTTATAAAAAAAGTAAATTGGATAAATGTTTTTGGCAGAATTATTTAAGTTCATACAATTTTTAATGTAATTAATATTTATGTTATTTTCACATTTAAATCTAATCAGATAGTCATACAGAATGAGTTCATGTTTAAAATCTATTTTTGTCTAGAAATTTAAATTTTTTATTAATCTTTGTTTTAAATTATTCATTTTTTTTAAAATTATTAAAAAAATTCTAAAATTTCTGATGCAAAGATTTCTATTTTGCAGCAAATACCTAATGAAAAGCGACCTGTTTGGTATATATTCTCTGGCATGGGTACCCAGTGGCCTTGCATGGCAAAACAACTGATGAATTTGGAAGTTTTTGCACACTCGATTCGGAAATCTGCTGAAGTCTTAAAACCTTATGGTTTAGATCNAATGAGGAAAGAAAGGTGTAAGACAGTAAAGAAAGACAGTTGAATAATTTTTATTTCATGTCATAACAGAAATAGTTAAAGTTGGGAGTCTGAGAGTTGCTGAAAAAAAACTTTTGTTTTTGTAAAAAGAAAATCGAATTTATAAAAAAAGTAAATTGGATAAATGTTTTTGGCGGAATTATTTAAGTTTATACAATTTTTAATGTAATTATTTATGCTATTTTCACATTTAAATCTAATCTGACAGTCATACGGAATGAGTTTATGTTTAGAATCTATTTTTTGTCTACAAATTTCTAATTTTTATTAATCTTAGTTTTAAATTACCATTTTTTTAAAATTATTTAAAAAAATTCTAAAATTTCTGATGCAAAGATTTCTATTTTGCAGCAAATACCTAATGAAAAGCGACCTGTTTGGTATATATTCTCTGGCATGGGTACCCAGTGGCCTTGCATGGCAAAACAACTGATGAATTTGGAAGTTTTTGCACACTCGATTCGGAAATCTGCTGAAGTCTTAAAACCTTATGGTTTAGATCTGATTGATCTCGTTACCAATGGTGTCAAAAACCCATCAAATACAAGGAGCATCATTCCTGCATTTGTTTCTATTGCAGCAGTTCAGGTGATTATATTCTCATTAAAATTCTTTAACCTAGAAATTTTATTTATTTACCCTTTTATAAATAGAACTTTACAAGTTATGCTTGGCAAATTCATACAAAAAAAAATTTATTTTTAGGACCCTTATATTGATGCTTATATTTAATTTTTGGTACTTAATTTTTTGTATTGCTTCAAATGTTCTTCAGTGTCCTTCAAATGTTGTAATTTTTTTATCACTGTGTGAAAAAAATATTGATTGCATCATGCAGAGATGATTGTGCTCTGGAAAAAATCCGGATTTTTCGGTAAACGCGATCTGGAAGTTTCCGGAAATTCGAGGTCCAAAAATTTCAAGAAATTATTGATCACATTTATGTATTTAAAAAAATTTTATTTTTCATTTAGAAATATTAGAACTTGAATTTATATTTGGCATCTCTTTCATTTGTAAATATTTTTTCTAGTAGAATAATAAATATGATTAGAGATAAAAGTAAACTTATGCATAATTATTCATTTAAATTATGCTGCATATAATTTATTTAGAATTTCATGTTTTGAAAATATCAATGATTTAAATTTATAAAGACGTTACTTTTTTGCAATACGTAATTAATGATTTTAAAGGAGAAATTTTCAGGATTTTTGAGTTGGGCTCACAATCACCCCTGATCATGGCTTAAATCAAAATTAAAAGTTATTAAAGATTCTTATTTTTTTTTCTTACTTTGTGAGAGTACAGACCCTGACAAAAGAACACAAAGAGAAATCATATGCAATTTTTATTCCCATTTATAATTAATAAAAAAAATGATAATTGATAATAGTGTAGTATGGAAATTTATTATAGATTAATTTTAAAACATGCTCAGGTATCATTTTTATGTTCAAAAAGTATCTAAAAATAATGAAATACTAATTCATTAAGCATTTCCTTTTAAATTTAGCTGAATATGGCTAATAGTAAAAAAAAAAACATGTTACTCTTACTAGGTTGCTCTAGTTGACGTGCTGAAAGTGCTTGGAATTGAGCCTGATGGTTTCATTGGACACAGTGTGGGAGAACTGGGTTGTGCATATGCAGATGGTTGCTTTAATGCTGAACAAATGGTTCTTGCTGCTTTCTGGAGAGGCAAAGCTGTTGAGGAATCTCATTTGGAACAGGGAGCTATGGCTGCTCTTGGTAATTCTTTTCGGATGTCTAGTTATGAGATAATCAAAAGTTTTTTAAAAATGTATTATTTCATGTAAAATATATCAATTATATCTCTAATGTTGATGAAAGAAGAAATATGAAACGATGAATGTAAAAATTATGATAATGAATTTAAATTATAAGTGAAGTTATGAAAATGTAGATTTTTGATTTTTTCCAATTTCCATGTGGCTTTTAAAATCCCGATATATTTATTACGATATTGCAACTCATGAGTTATAAATTACGCACTTAAACACGTTTTTGATGTGCTTTACTTGTGTCAATTTCATCGTAAATCTGTATGATTTTATTTTTTAAAGCCGTTATACGCTTTTCCACATGATCTTGAAGATCTTGTATTTTTACTTCGATATTATGACATCCGAGTTTCATATTTAAATAATCCCTTTGACGCGCTTCGTTTTGCCGATTTCATTCTTAAAAAAAGAGCTCAAAAGCTCGAAAAATTTTTTAATTTTTATTTTAGTTTTTGATTTTTAATTTTTCCCCAAAATTATTATCTGCTGTTGTAAAAATGTCTACGTTGAGGTGGAAGCTCACGCTCTAGATGTAAATATGAATCCTGTTGAGACTATGTTTTGGTATTGTATTGAAAGTAACAATTAAAAATGAAGTTTGAAGAGTAGTGAATTATATCTTCCAAATTTTAGGTGTTACATGGGAAGAAGCAAAAGAGAGTTGTCCAAAGGGTGTCTATCCTTCTTGCCATAATGCTGAAGATTCAGTGACAATATCTGGACCGAAAAGTAGCGTGAAAGAGTTTGTGGAGAAACTCAAGGCTGATAATGTTTTTGCCAGAGAAGTAGATAGCTGTGGCTATGCATTCCACAGTCAGTATATATATCCTGCAGCTGGAAAGCTTCAAGAAGCCCTCAACAAGGTAATAAGACATCTTTTTTAAAACTGAAATTATAGTAGAACCTCTTTCACCTGAACTATTCATATTTGAAATTCTACTGCAGCTTAATTATTGTTCCCCATGTAGTAACATCAAAACTTTTAGGATTTTTTTTTTGTTTAACTTTTTTAAAAAGTGTTTTAAGGTGCTTATTTTCGATTTTCGTTTTTTAAAATCCCTTAAAGGTGCTTTTTTTATTGGGTGTTTTAAAAAGTGATTAATTTTCCTCTTTTGGAAATGAGGTTTTTTTTCTTCTTCTTTACAATGACAATTTTCGCCATGTATTATGCAAAAGCATGGTTTTCACATTGTTCTATACAACGTTTTCACAATTCATTCAAACACAATGTATTTAAGCATACCGTTGGTCTGTAGCTTATGAAAGCACCAATCATTGTGCTTGTTTGATGAAATACTTGTGGGTTCACATGTGGGTCGACAGAGCTGGGTCTGGTGAAATTCTTGCACTCTCATGTGCAACTCTGTTGCCTTTTGCAAGATATTCTCAATTTCTGGCTTCATTTTCCACCCTCTGAAATCAAACTGAAAAATCTTTCGATCTTTTTATGGTGGCTAATATAATCAAGAAAAAAGTTCTTTGTCAAAAACTAGAAAAGACCATCCATTCCAAAGATTTTAATTATGCAAAGTAAGACTAGTTCCAAATACTTTGGATAATTATTGTTCTATTGACCATTTTTTCTTCTTCCAATTTAGCTAAAAAATTCTACTTTGCATACACAAATGTTAACAGTTTATGTGATATTATGCAGTTAATGTAAATAATTCATATCTCTTTAAAAAATTTCAGGTCATTCCAAATCCTAAGCCGAGGTCTAGTCGTTGGGTAAGTTCATCTTATCCTGAAAATGAGTGGTCAGACGCTTCAGCAAAACTCGCTGGTGCTTCCTACTTTGTCCACAACTTGGTATCCCCTGTGCTTTTCCATGAAGCTTTACATTATGTACCCAAGAATGCACTTGTCATTGAGATAGCTCCGCATCACCTTCTTCAGGCAATTTTGAAAAGAGTCATTGGCCCAGATGCAGAATATATCGGCTTGATGAAGCGCAATACAGACAATACTCACCACCTACTGTCCAGCATTGGAAGGTAGCAACAAATGCTTTTTTTTAATTTATTATTTTTTAATAAAAAGGAATCATCTACATTTATTTTCTCAAGTCACACTTCAGGAGTGATTGTATTCCAGGTGTACCCCAAAATTCCAGGTTTTTCGTATCATTCTTCTGGATCTAAAAAACTAGAAGCAGGATTTGTGAATTTTCCGCGCATTGGTTCGCGGACTTCAGCAAATCAACCAAAAACAGTCTACGCTATTTCCGCCAATTTGATTATTTTAGTTCAGTGGATTTCCGCTATTTTGAATATTTGGAACACTGCGCTGGTATCTGCTAATATCGCGTTTCTTAATAACGTGATTTTAATATCAAATATTGATTTTCCCATCTACTTAATTTAAAAGTTACACGTTGCGATTCACATTCTCGAGATTTAAAAATCTCAAATTGCGATTCCCATTCACGGGGTTTAATAACCTGATATCACCATTTGTATTTACACGTTTTTAAAACCAAATATCGCGATTCATATTCACGCGAGTTCTAAACCCAATATCGTGATTCATATTCACGCAAGTTTAAAATTCAATGTTTTGGTATAATTTTTCTTGAATTAAGTTTCTATATAAGTGTGATATTCTTCATTAGTAGTTCATTTAGTAACTCAAAAAAAAATATGCTATGTAAGAAACATGTTTGGCTTATAAATTGATATCAATATTTAGGGTTTTTCACTTTGTGTCACCCCTGACACTTATATCAAAATATTTTTAAAAGAGTTCTAACTTTCCTTGCAGGCTTTATAGCAGTGGATTGAACCCCCAAATCGATAGGCTTTATCCTGCAGTACAGATGCCAGTCCCAAAGAGCACTCCGATGATATCGCCCCTCATTAAATGGGATCATTCAGATAGCTGGTTGGTTGCCAATTGGGACGACCTCGCTGATCAATCCCAAATGATTGTGGAAGTCAATGTTGCAGCAGAGGAATCCCCAGATCACTCTTTGTTAAACCATTGCATCGATGGACGCTGCCTCTACCCCGCAACTGGCTACCTAGTTCTAGCTTGGAGAGCACTGGCAGAGTTGAAAGGAAAAGAAATGACTTCTTTGCCTATAAATTTTGAAGAAGTGAAAATTCACAGAGCCACCGTGCTAACGAAAAATGGTAAATATTTACAATTTTTCTTCAACACATAACATTAAACGTTTATTAATTTCAAAATCATAAATTTTTTGGTATGTCAACTAAAAGTACAAATTTTTCATACTTATTTTTTTACAAATTTTTTATGGATTTATAAGTTAACACAACAGAATCGTGAAAAACTTTTGGAAACATGAGGAGATGAATTTTCTGATTTCTTTAAGGCCTTTTATTTTATCATATGTTTTTTTTACGGTTGGTCAGTGACCCCTTATTTTTCTCCCCTAATTTTTTTGCAATTAGAAACTAGATTTTTTTTTTACAAAGGAACTTATTTGTTTGATAATTAAATTTTTTTAAAAGATTTTTTTCATATTGAAACCAGTTTTATTTTTTGGAAGAAATGTAATTTATTAGGGGGCTAGATCTCTTGTTCACTGATGCTCACCAACCCCCATGATTGTTTCGCCACAATTGCTGCTTCTTGGCATGGAAGAGTTGCAATTATTCAACTAAAATTGTATGTACTAGCCTTACATTTGAAATTAAGAAAACTTATTTTAGATTTTGACATTAGAAACAGTTGTTTTATGTTGATTTCAGTCATATTTGTTGACAACAACATTTAGAGTAATGGTTAATGAAATGGGTTTTTATACCGATGTATTTTCAAGTATATTTTTACTCTTCTAAACCCGAACTTTATGTATGGCAAGTATCAAATTTTAATCAAAAACATTATATGTAATTTAATGTGGAAATAGTGAAATAAAAATCTTATGTTATCTTTTAGGATCAACAAAATTCCTTATTGACATAACAAGTGCTGGTGGAGACTTTGAAATTTCTGAGGGAGGAATGACTGTTTGTACAGGTCGAGTTTATTCACCCGAAGAACCACTGAGTGTCGATTACTTAAAACGATGGAAGAAGGCTCCTTTGCAGCTGAAACATGGAGACATTTATAAGGAACTAAAACTTCGGGGTTATGACTATGGACCCACTTTTCAAGGCGTAGCTCAATCTGATCTTGAAGGTTGGCAGCTCTTATTATTATCATCTCTCAATTTAACAATTTAAATAAAAAGTTAGAAACCAAAACTGCTAACTGTCTGCCAACACAGTGTATCCCCTGATAAAGTGCTGTTTTTTCTAACATACATTATCTTTCGTTTTTGCTTGTTTCTGGTTTTTAACGTTTTATTTAAATTGTTAACATAAGAAAAAATTATTTTTAGCTGCTTTTCCATTTTGACTTATTTTTTTTAAAAAATTGCTTAAATCAATTTTCCAAACTTTGATTGCATCATAAATCTAACTATTATTGTCTCTTTTTACAGGAAATCATGGTCTTCTTAAATGGACTGGAGACTGGATTGTGTTTTTGGATACCATGTTGCAATTCACCATATTAGGATCACCCAAGAGAGCTCTTTATCTTCCCACGAGAATACAAAGCATAAAAATTAATCCCATTGCACACAACAGCATTCTAGAAAAAACGCTCGTCGACTTGGAGGGTGTTCCCGTCCTACATGAGAAGAACACCAGGTGTTGCATGGCTGGAGGGGTTGAACTCAAAAACTTAAAAGCTACTTTTGCACCAAAGCACCAGGGAAAGCAAATCCCGATTCTCGAGGAATACCGTTTCGTTCCTTACGATGAGACACAAACTTTATCAGAATCGAGCAAGACAACCTTGGAGCATTACATCCGAATATGCTCGACTGTGGCCAAATCGATCCTCGAGAAATCTGACAAAACCAAACATCAAATATCAGATTTAATCAATGGTTTTAAAGAGATAGATGGCTCTGTTGTTTCAAAGTACCTTGAAACTCTCGGTGATAATGAAATTCTATTGAAGACTCTCAGTGATATTATGAGTGAGGAGGCAACCCATAGAGACTTTAGCCAGCGTGTAAAAAATCGCGTTAACGATTATTTGTCGGAAAGAGATGCGGATATCCTGTCGGAGACAATGCTCGGAGAAAAAACATTGAGGACATTGCTTGATATTGTGTTTGAGAATACAACTTCCAGGAAGTTAAAAATAGCTGAGGTTGGAGACAGTCCGATAGCGCTAACCTCAAAACTTACAGAACTACTACAAACACCTGGCATGCAACAAGTGAGTTATGCCATAGCTCATAGTAAACCAGACTTGCTAAAAAAAGACACTCTCCCCCAGAACTGTGATGTAGTGTCGTGGAACACAAATGCCGCATTTACATTCAAAGATGTCGATCTGTTTGTTATGAAATATCTAAACTGTCAAATGAAAGATCTTAAAAATGTGCTTGAGAATGCAGTACTAACTCTCAAAGATAATGGTTTCATTGCAGTGATACTGAAGACTAAACTAATTCCGGCTGAGATGTTTCTTTTGGCTGTTGGTGAGACAGTTGTTCCAGTTCACAGTGAAACTAACTTTGAGCAAATCTGCAAAGAATCAAATTTGAAAATTGTCTGCAAAAAGTCAGATTCACTTACCTCCACCTCTTATTTGCTGAGGAAAGTTCCAGAACTCAGTTTTAATGATGTTGTTATTCCGATTGTTGAGTGCAGGTATGAAAAGTGGGTTGATCAATTGAAAGATGAATTAGTGAAGTCTTCAACAGCAAACGAACCTAGGAGAATTTGGCTACTTAGTGAAGAATCCATGAGCAGTGGACTTGTGGGACTTGTAAATTGCTTAAGGCAAGAGCCCGGTGGTTCTAGCATAAGGTAAATATTCCATATGAATTTTGATATTTTGTTGAGTGTGCCCTAGCAACAATTTTATCTTGGCCCCACTTAAGTTCGAAATTGGCTCGATATGGATCCTAAATGAGCATGCTGCAAGGGACCAATATTGGGGTGTCTAAATTTTTTTAAATATTGGTCCTATACATTACAAGGCTAAGGGGGATCAATATTGGGATGTCTAGATTTTTTTTTTTAAATATTGGCCCTATACATTACAAGGCTACGGAGTTGAACATTAGTAGTCGTAAACCCATAAAATTGGGTCGGCTGTTCAACGGCTGTTATAAAATAAAATATTGGTCCTATGAGCCGTGATGGCTCAGGGGATAGAACATTCGCCTTCCAATGAGGCTAACCGGGTTCGAATCCCAGTCGATACAAATTCCGCATCTGGCTTGCACCGACGACAGTGCTGACGCAAAATATCCTCAGTGGTAGACGGATCATTGTTTGAGTCCCTTTGCTGCCAGGCTAACCGTGGGAAGTTCTTGTGGTCTTTCTTTCCATGTAACGCAAATGCGGGTTAGTTCCATCAGAAAGTCCTCCATGAAGGCAAATTTCTCACAATACTTGATCCAGGAGCTCTCTTGTCTTCTGGATTGGGTTAAAAAATGACAAGACTACAGAGTTGAACATTAGTAGTCGTAAACCCTTAAAATTGGGTCGGCTGTTCAACGATGGTTATAAAATAAAATAAAATATTGGTCCTATGCAGTGTCAATATCGCTCTATATAGGTTTTATATTGACTGAATAATGATTATAAAATATGGGACAAATACGATAATTTTATATAGGGCTGCTATTGGTTGTTAAGTGGCAGTAAAATATCGAGTGAATCGGACAATTCTATGTAGGGCCCATGTTGGAGAAATATCGGGCCTTTGAACCCTTATTGAGCCAAGATTTGTGAATATTGATCCTAATTATTTTGCTAAGGTGATTTTAATGTAGAAAAACTAAGGGACATTTATATATATTTAGGTGTATCTTCACAAGCAAAGGTGATAAGGTGCCTCCTTTCTCTGTGGATAGTAAATTTTATAATGATATAGTACAGAAGGATCTGACTATGAACATATTTAGAAAAGAATCTTGGGGGACATACCGCCATTTGAAAATGACTGAAGGTAAATGATCTTAGAATATTTGATTTGATTTGTGAATCAATAAATTTTATCATTTATTCTCTATTTTCTTTTTTAATTGGTTTATTTTGTGATATGCATATCAGTGACATATTTTATGAGAATGGCTTCAGTCATTCGAATTTTCATGCTTTTTGTTGGATACCATTTTTAATATTCAAAAATAATAAAAAATAAACATACATATATATTCCTTCCTATTTATGTTCTAAAAGTATTTTCCCTACATTCGATAAATAAAAGAAAGAAATGAAATTTTTTTATTGAATTGAAGAATTTTAAATTTTATCATTCATTTCATGTTATAAATTTTTTTCTTTAATTCCATAGTTTTTTTTATTTATAAATTAGAAAAAGACGTTTTAACTTCCTAGAAGTAAACAAAATCGTTTTTCTGTTATAATTATTTTCAATTGATTTATTTGATATGTAAACCAAGCAAATATTTCATAATTAAAATTAGAACTTTTTTATATGAGTATAAAAAAATTCTGAGATAGAGAAATAATAGATAAAATTATCTATCCACCTCTAAATATTTATTCCTAAACATTAGGTGCATAGTTATAAAAGGGAAAAGAATTAGATAAGATTGTATTAATATTGCGAAGTGTAATAATATATTTGAGTTGGTCAGTGCCTATTACTCTGTTACTAATTACTCCACACACCTTCTCCGCAGCTCTGCACTTTGCAAGAATTCTATCACTGAATGCTATTGGGAAGCTAGAGACATGTTGTGATTTATAGACTTTGTTGCAGCATCTTTTGTTTCTGTTCTTATTTTTATTCGATGTTTATGTATTATGCTGTTACTCTCTGTAATCTGCCATTGGAAATGAAAAAAAAAAAATTTAGTTACTTAGGAGAAAAATTCTGTTAGTCTTTTACATACACGAATAAGAATTCAGTTTGTAATGAGTGATAATACTATCTGGGATAATCACCTCATCGGTGATTAGCCCAGCACCTCATCGAATAATTTGAAAATATTTTTAAAACATGATGAAATAGTCATTTTAAAAATGATTGGGAAATTGTTATCTATGTGCCTATTTCAAAAATTAAAAAAACCATAATGATTATTTCATTAAAATCATGCTGATATGTTAATTGAAAACAGTTTTCAATGTATTTTTAATGATTTGTGTAATTTTTTAATTTTCCACTTTTTAAGTCAATTTTTTAACATGCATGGTATTTAATTTTAAATGTGCCATTTTATTAAATAATGTACTGATATTTCAGATTACAGTAAGAAAGAAACTAGTCATGCATACCTGAATGTTTTAACTCGGGGCGACCTGTCCAGCCTAGTGTGGGTGGATGCACCGCTGAAATTTTTCTGCCCTTCAGAAGAACACAGTGTTCTATGCCAAGTTTATTATGCCCCTCTCAATTTCAGAGACGTCATGCTTGCAAGTGGAAAGCTACCTCCTGATGCTATTCCTGGTAAATACATGTTCATATGTTAACTAAAGAAAAGAAAAAAACATTTAGCACCACAATTTTATGGATGGTAAACGGAATGCAAATAATAACTAGCTTCTTAAAACCGAAAGAAATTTAAAAATCTTCCGGTGTATCTCACCTCTTATGTTATGGAGGCGATGTGTGAACAGGCTTACTATTCTAGAGAGTTTTATTATTGCGATTTGTGTTTAAATTTACTCGTAATTTTACCATTCATCAGAGTTTTTTGTAATTTATGAATTCTAACAGGTCGTGAACCTAAAACAAATTGAAGAAGATTAATATCACAACATAAATAAAGTGAAAGGTTAGCCATGTTTTGAGTGTTATCCCTTATTTTACTATATTAGTGTAAAATAGCGCCGTTTGTTATTTTTTGGGTATCATCATAGCAAGCTTGGGGAGTCTTCTGAAGTCATTTGTTTCGTTGAAAGTTAGATTGGAAGAACGTGTTATATTGAAAATACTACAAGTACAGTAATATTGGATGGTGCATTTTTGCAAGCTTAGGTATAAAAATCAGTTAGAAGTAGTACCTAACCTGGAAGTCTTATGATGAATTTTAGCCCCAAAGATATCTGGGCTTAGCTTTACATGGTCAAACATCCATATTATTAGGAGGGGAGTAATTCTTAATTTGCAGAATGAGAACCCAACTTTGCCAAACGATTATCTATTATTTGCATGAAACTAGCATTAAATTAGAAGATCTATAAAGCATAATTCTCCAGAAACTGCATTAACATAATCTCTAAAAACTGTTTTATAAATTTGTTGAATATTATTTCTAATAGTTTAGATAAGTTAGATTTTTTTCTATTAATAATAAATACTTAAATTCATGTTTTAGTGCACAATGATATTTCAGAATAAATGCACAATTATCCTTTACCATTCTTAGTATAATAACAGCATTAATAATAAAAATACAGCATAAATAATAATGACTTCAGTTTTACTAAGCTTTCGGTTTGACGATTTTGTTAAGACTGTAAGTTCTTTTTTTTAATAGTACATAATACATTTTTAAAACAAAAATATCAGTCATATTATTCATCACATTTTTGATGCGATAAAATAAAAGCTTCTTTCAAAATGTCAACACTATTGTATTTTCAAATATGTTCCACATGTAACTGAACTTAATTAATGATTAAAAAAAAACTTGAAACCAATATAATTCTTTTCCAGGTGATCTTGTCTTACAAGACTGCATACTTGGCTTGGAGTTTTCTGGACGTTTAACAAATGGAAAACGAGTCATGGGTCTGGTTCCAGCTAAAGGTTTGGCAACAACTGTGGCTGCCGATCCAGATTTCGTATGGGATGTACCTGATGAATGGACATTGGAAGAAGCTTCAACAGTTCCTGTAGCTTATTCAACTGCATATTATGCTCTGGTCATTAGAGGAAATCTAAAAGAAGGTGATAGAGTACTCATTCATTCAGGAAGTGGGGGTGTAGGACAGGCAGCCATTTCCATTGCTCTCAGCTTTGGGTGTGAAGTTTTCACAACTGTTGGTAAGTACCTTCAAATTATAAAGCAAAGTTGGCAAAATATAGTGTAATGTGTATAGTGCTTAAAAATAATTTTTTAGTGTTGAAAGATTTGGCTACCCTGTTCTCACTTGAATATTAATTTGTTTAATCTCTTCCTTCTTGCTCCTGTGAAAATGACGGGCTGAGGTTTCGCCCTCTACTTCTCGCTCCCGTTATATTCTCGGGCTGGAGTGCTCAGTAGTAACGCACCAATAAGAACAAAACTAATTCAGTACTTTTGCCCGGAAAAAATTTTATTTCTCATTTTACACAGATGGCAGTACCAGGAAATTTTTAAGGTAATTGTAGATAGATGTACACGTAGATGTAGGAAGGAAACTCGGTACTACTGTCCTGATTGTGACGTTGGCCTCTGTATCTCATGCATTGAAATTTATCACACAAGAGAAAATTACTAATCTTTATTTATATTAACGTAAGTTTAATGAAATTCTTTTTTAATGTTTAAAACACATATTTTTTAAATTTTCCTTGCTTGCTGGAAAACCAACATTTAGTAAACACAATGAACTAGTAANGAGAAAGGCGGTTCAAGGCAAACTAAGTTTCCCCAAATTTAAATTCCAAACGTAGTATTCTAAGAAAATATTTCTACTTTTACAAGCATCGTCCGCGCATTCTTATTAATATTAAATCATATATTTTTTTGTAAATAAATAATTGATCAATTTATATTTTCATAAAATTAATTAATAGAATATTATGTTATTAAAAATTAATTTCTGGCAATTTTTTAAATAAAATATTGTAAATTTAAGAATTGCTTAACTTTACTTAATGTGTAACACATTAAAAGTGATTTATAACTAAGTTGTGTTAGTTAAAATGTGTCAATTGAAATTATTAAAGATGTGAGTTTCTTTGTTTCCATTATTCGCCCGAAATGAATATTTTGTGTTGATCATCAGTATAGGCTAAATACCAAATATTTGTATGTTGCATCTCTAATTTAGTAGCAGCAATTGTTGAGCAGGATCTTGTATCTATTTACAATTTAAAAACTTCTTGAGAAGGTTTTTAGCAATTTTTGCAATAACAGAACCCTATTTGCACAAATTCACAAAAGCGGGACCCTAGTTGAAAGAATGTGACTTAGCGTTTATTTTATATTCACAAATTATGAGTAGTTTTTTCACAATGTTACAAAAACAGGACCTTTCACAAAATGTCTGGACAGACCCCTGATAAATAAGTATGAAGAGCAATTTCTAAAAAACACCCAATATAGATTTTTACTTAATGGAAGAATACTATATTGTTTCAAACTTTTCATGTGATTTCTTTTAGGTTCGACTGAAAAGAAAGAATATCTGAAAAAACGTTTTACATCTCTACAGGATAGAAACTTCTGCAATTCACGAGACACATCATTTGAACAATATATTTTGAATGCAACAAACGGAGAAGGTAAGAGTAATACAGTAGAAATTTTTATATCGCATTTGAAATATGCAGTAGCTTGACTTAATCAAATATTTAAGTGTGAAAATAATTTTGAAATGAAATTTGCTTCTGAAAACTTTTTATTGAACATGTATTAATATATATATATTTAAAATATTATATTATGATTATCATATAATTAATATATATTTATATGAAAGCTTAGATTATTGTTTCTATAGTTTTAATTTATAATGTTTTCAAAGAATTTGCCCATTTTTTGTGAAAAATAATGTTTAGTTAACAACCCGCATTTCAATGTATTTATGTGATTTATAGATAGTTTTGTACTTGTTTCAATCGATTGATGGTGAATTATTGGAATGTCGAGGAAAACAGTCAGTTAAAAAATTAGAAAAATAAAATTAATGTATTTCTTATAATGTGAGATCACCTTTTAAATTTACTTATAAATTTAGTTCTAAAACAAAGTTTGCCCATTCTCATGTTTGCAATTAATTATTCACAATTATTAATAATAAAATTCACAATAACTTTTTAATTTAATACATATACTGAAGCCACAAGAAAAATCTCTTTTAAAACCAAAACCAACACTTTGAGCTGCTATAGATAAAAAGATTTATTCTGAAATTTGTTAAATGAATCAATTAAAATAATCTTTACATTTTAAAAAGAATTATTAAGTAAAAAAAATAAATAAGCAATAATAATTTAGGTTATCTTTCAGAGAGGTTTAGGCCTTGTTCAATTAAATCCACTTAACATTAATAAAAGGCTTATTTCAAATAAATTAAAAGGTGTAGTAGGGTGACATAGTGTTATGGTAGAATATATATATGCATATATATAAGAATAATGTTTAAAGACTTTTTGTTTGTAAACTGAAAATTCTTTTTTGCCCGCAATGTCTTCTGCATTTATGTGAGACACTCATATTTCTTTTTTCAGGTGTTGATGTCATTCTGAATTCACTAGCAGACGAAAAGTTGAAAGCAACATTAAATTGCCTTGCCCAACATGGACGTTTTCTAGAAATAGGAAAATATGATTTATCAAACAACAGTCCATTAGGTAAATCGAAAGTCTCATTTATGGCTAAGTTCCTAATTTTTATTTTGGTTGGGGGCATTTAAATGCATAACATTTAACAATGTTCATTATAAGAACTATGACTAGGATTACAAGTTAGTTTGAGGCTAAAAAAAATAGAGAAATTTGCGTGAAAATTTTTAAAACAGGGGAAATTTTTGCAGTATTATGTTGTGCAGTTAAACAAGGTTGTGCAAATAAACAAGGAAGGACCACCACTTTAGCTGGAGACCAGGGGGCGATCATCTTTTCAGGTCTATGGACAGTCCCACCCTGATTAAAACAGAAAAATCTAAAGAAGTTGATAGATCATACTCAATAGAAATGAGTGCCAAAGATGAAAGGCGGGCATTAGTCAACATAGATCTCAAATATGTTTTTATCAATTGCAGTTTTGAAAATGAACGTTCTGCAGCAATAATGGTTACAGGAAAATTAAAAAAATTCTTAAAGCAATCACAAAATTTGGCATAATATTAGTAAAATTGCTTTTGTACTGTAAGGTTACAAATGATCTAATTTTCAAATTGTTAATATTTAAGAGCAAATGATAAATAAAAACTTTAATTTTTAGGAATGGCAATCTTTTTGAAGAACATATCATTCCACGGCATACTATTAGATGCACTGTTTGAGAGTACTGGTTATAGCGGTCGTGTGAAGAAACAAGTTGTCCAACTAGTAAAGGATGGTATTGCTGACGGAACGGTGAAACCTCTCAACTCAATTCTTTACAATCACGAGGAAGCAGAACAGGCATTCCGATTCATGGCCAGTGGTAAACACATAGGAAAAGTTGTCTTAAAAGTAAGTTGTGCACGATCCTATAATGATTTTAAGCAGTTCTGCGAATGACAAAAATTATTTTTAATCCTAAATGTGTATTCTCTATACAGTAGGAAACTGAGTATCAGATATCTATGTTGATATGGTGGAATTTTTCCTTTTATAGATAAAAAACATAATGACTTATACTTCCAAAATTAGAAACGAGTTAAATGTTGAGAATATTCAGTAAAAACATCATTATAATGGATGGTGTTTTGTACACTAAGGAGCGTTGTAAGCAGGGTTGGGTTTTTGCCATGACAGTGGTAAAAACCGTTAAAAGCCTACTGTTTTCTTTAATTTATGGCATATAGCGGACAATATATTATTTTCACTTAATTGCCTTTATAAATGAATGTTGTAAATGATTTTGCAACTATATATACGTATTCTTATAGAAGGATATACATTCATACAGAAATATTGTAACATACTTATTGAAAATAGTGATGTACTTAACTTTTATCATTATAGCTTGATTTGCAAAGGATTCAAAATATTGCACTTCTTAATTGTTAGAAATAAACAAACAAACAAACAAAAAAACTTGGAACTATTAATAAATTCAAGAACTAAAAAGAAGAATTTAAAATTTGTCATTTCTTAAATATTAGAAATAAGCTAAACAAAACTTTCAAAACTTGTAACTACTAACAAACTCTAAATCAGGAATGACTTGACATTCTTCAGTAATGTAATATGTCAAACAAAATAATGCTTGGAAATGTTGAAAACTTTGTTTAGTATCCTAATATTTTACTTCAAATCGTATGATTTGATATAATCATGTTAGGAAAATGCTAAAATCTGTTCTTAAATATCTTCTAACAACTTTTTTTCTAATTTTATTGCCCAAAAATGAATTAATTTTAAATCATAAGCAGTTAAACTCAAAATTAAAATGCAATTTTATCAAAACTATGGGTTTTTGACATGACGGTAAAAACTATGGTATAAACCGGTAAAAACCGTCATGTGTCAAAAACTTGCCAACCCTGGTTGTAAGCTCTTGACTGCCTATACTTTCGAGTTACTGTTTTTGGCGTTTTTTAACCATTTGGCTCACAACATGATCATTGTGTTTTGAAACTCTTTTGAGTAGTTTTTCTTGTATACGTGTATTNCTTGACATTCTTCAGTAATGTAATATGTCAAACAAAATGATGCTTGGAAATGTTGAAAATTTTGTTTAGTATCCTAATATTTTACTTCAAATCGTATGATTTGATATAATCATGTTGGGAAAATGCAAAAATCTGTTCTTAATTATCTTCTAACAACTTTTTTTCTAATTTTATTGCCCAAAAATGAACTAATTTTAAATCATAAACAGTTAAACTCAAAATTAAAATACAATTTTATCAAAACTATGGGTTTTTGACAGTTTTTGACATGACGGTAAAAACCATGGTATAAACCGGTAAAAACCGTCATGTGTCAAAAACTTGCCAACCCTGGTTGTAAGCTCTTGACTGCCTATACTTTCGGGTTACTGTTTTTGGCGTTTTTTAGCCATTTGGCTCGCAACATGATCATTGTGTTTTGAAACTCTTTTGAGTAGTTTTTCTTGTATACATGTATTTGTTACCTGATTTATTATGTGTTTAAAAGAAGAATCGTTATAAGAATTGCCCTTTGAAGACCTGTCGTTTCAGGACATAAGTATTGTCTTTTGAAAAAAGAATTATTGTTATATAAAACACTTCTTACCTTGTCTACAATAAACCAACTTCGAAATATAAACCTAAATGATAATTTGTAAAATGAACTTAATCTCATTGCTATAACAATATACTAACACTAACGTATGATAGTGCATGGCTTGCACCAAGAACAAACAGAAGAAACAAGTAAAAAGAGGCCAAATTGGGACTGCCAAAAAAACGAGTTCTTTCTAAATCTAGCAACCATGTCACCTTTTTTTAACAATACATCTCTATATAACTAAAAAATATTTTCACTTCAAACTCACCAGAATTACTTGATATTATTAATATCTTATGAAATACAGCAAGTTCCAGCTTAACAATTATATGATTTATTTCTTCTGTTAAAAACAAAATTATTAGTTTGAAAATATCGCCTTGCAGATTAAGCTGTAGTAAGCAGCTGTATACTTTTAACAGGAAGTCGAGCAGGTCAAGATCTCGAGATTGACGTTTACATTTATATTGAAAACACCATCTATTCAGTTGTTTTGTGTTCATATGATTTTGTATTTAATTGTAAAAATTATGTTTAAATGCTTTTTTTTACAATTATCATTTACATTTTTAGATAAGAGAAGAAGAATTAGAGAAACAAGCAATTCCTACATCTGTTAAATTAACAGCATTAAATCGAACAATGTGCAACCCTAAGAAATCATATGTTATTATTGGTGGATTAGGAGGTTTTGGCTTAGAACTCAGCCAGTGGTTAGTTGAAAGAGGAGCACGCACTATAATTTTAACATCAAGATCTGGTGTGAAAACTGGTTACCAACAATTATGCGTGCAGAGATGGAAACAGGACGGCGTGAACATAGTAGTATCAAAACTGAATGTTGCCAACCAAAAAGAAACACAATCATTGCTGAAGATGGCAGCTGAACACGGTGTAGTTGGTGGAATTTTCAATTTAGCTTTGGTAAGTTTTTCAAAAATAACATTTAAAATACATAGTTGATGGAAATTAAATGACATTTTTTATTTCGTCTGTTAATTAAAAGCTTTTCCGACCTCTTAATATCAATTTAAAAACAGAATGATTTTCAACTCTTTCAATCTTAATGATCTCGAGATATGATGAGTTTAACTTTTTTAATGCATTTTTTTCTTTTTTATTACATACCTTTTAACATTTAAGATTTGAGTGAAATATTTTTTTCTAGCAGTAGTGAAATAAAGCAGAAATTTGGAAGAATAAAAAAGATAATTTTTTAGACGTTTATCCGAGTTAATGAATATGGATGGATGTTTGTACTTTAATGAAATAGATGTGGATTAAATATTTTGTTTTTGAATTGTAATAGAAAAAAATATTTTTTGTTGTTGCTTAACTCGGAAGTTTTAATCTTTCATAAAGAAAGTTCTATGAATCAGCAAATCAGCCTTATGAGCGTTAACAACCTTATTAGATTTTCAACGAACCATTAAATGTATTTTTAATGGATAATTACTTTAAATGATATTTATATGACGGCATAGTAAAATTTTATAAATTTACATACTTTAATTATTATTAGTTCAAATTTATTTTTCTAAGCAGTAAATAAATCAAGATATATTACCTGTTTTCTAACAAAATATTTTACAAAACAAAACAAAATATAATACAAAATGGTTTTTTAAAAAAATTTTAAATGATACTTTTGAGTTACTAAGTTTTACAGTGTTATTAATTTATTTCTTAATACAAATGTTTATGCATTGTTTAATTTCAGGTATTAAGGGATGCATTTATGGAAAATCAAACAGTAAAAAATTTCGTAGAAGTGGGTGAATCAAAGATCCAATCCACTCTGAACCTAGACCAAATATCCCGTAAACTGTGCCCCGAATTGGAATGGTTTGTTTGTTTCTCATCAGTCAGTTGTGGTCGAGGCAATGCTGGGCAGAGTAACTATGGATTTGCCAATTCTGCTATGGAGAGAATATGTGAGGAGCGCTGCAAACAAGGATTACCTGGTAATATTCTTTTACTTCAAAAAAAAAAAAAATATTTTTTTATAAAATTTGAATAAAAATTTTAATGTTAGCTTAGTTGCAATTCTCAAAAACAAAAAAATTTAATTAATGCAGGTTTCCTCAAGGTGGGCTGAGTGCAGAAAAATGCAGCAAGTTTTTTTTTTAGATTGGGCCATTTAAAAAATCCAATCTTATACCCACCAAGTGGGCTTTTCACATTTTGTTATTTCTAATTAATTTTCTTTGAAATTATCAAACCAAATTGTTCTTTGAAATTATCAACTTATTGTTTTATAAATTTAAATTTGTAACCTTTATACAAAAGTATATGAACATTATACTTATTACATAATTTATTTAGATTGTAAACCACTTTAAACCCTTTAGATTGTAAACCACTTAGGGACTGAAAAGCAAAGCTAGTTTCTGATTTGTTTAACTATTTCAATAAAAAAAATAGATTCCTACATAATTATCAATTAAATTTAATGAGCATTTCTACATATTTATTAAAATCCTAAATTATGTACTTAAAATGTTCAGGAAACAAATGTCTAAAACTTATAATCTTTTTTCATAAATTTCAAAAGTAAAGTGGAGATTTCTGTATCATCATCATCAGCAGAATAATCGCCAAGCCTTGGCAACTGCCGAACAAGAACTCGTGGAAAACTAAAAAAAAAAAAAATTTACTGAGTGGGGCCAACTTGTAGGATGTAACTTGAGGGCTCCCCCGGATAAACCTCTACATGTTTATTTTTTTTAAATGTGTAAGTTTAAAATCCATTTGCCGACTAATCACGCTGTGAAAATATCTCAAAAATTGATACATTTTTGTACATTTTACACATATAAAGAATTCATACACAGAGAAATACAAATAAACATACCAGGATGTGAAATGTCCTCAGTGATAGACAGATCATGGGTTAGAGTCCCTTTGCTGTCAGGCTAACCGTGGGAGGTTTTCCACTCCGTGTAACGCAAATGTAGGTTAGTTTCATCAAAAAATCCTCCACAAAGGCAAATTTCTTCCAATACTTGATCCAGGAGTTCCCTTGTGTTCTGGATTGGGTTTGAAATTACAAGGCTACAGAGTTGAACATTAGTAGTCATAAACCCATAAAATTGGGTCGGCTGTTCAACGTATGCTATAAAATAAAATAAACTAACCATATGCTACAAAAAAATATGTGCTTTTCATTTCATGAATGTATTTAAGTATGCAAGTAGACTATATTTGAAAAAACCTCACCTATTTTCGGGCAAAATTAGGATCTTTTCATGTAAAAAACCTGAGTAAATCCACTTAAACCCAAGCAAAATTTGCTTTTTTTCACAAAAAAGCCCATATGGGCTTGCAAACCCTGGTAATAGTACTATAAAATGATCATAAGATGTCTAATATAATCAAATTGCATTGCCACAGGTACTAGATACAAAAGAAAACACAATATATATATATATATTAAAGCTGGACTGCTAAACAAACACCTTCTTAAAATAAAAACAATAATTTTTTAATCATTAAAGTTTTAAGTAGTCATATAATACAAAACAATGTTTATTTAATTGATTTTGAAAACTATTTTGAATTATTTGTGCAATGATTTATATAAAATTTTCTGCAATGAACTGAAAACACACACAGTAGTCAATCTAATTTCACTGCATTTTGGGCAGAGTGCAATATCTCAGAATGATGCCCCTTAAACTATAATCTGATGCTTGTGCATTACTTTCCTAACAGCATATTATTTATAATCACCCTTGTATTTAAAAATAACTTTTTTGTTTGTAGGTCTTGCCATACAGTGGGGTGCCATTGGTGATGTGGGTGTCATTCAAGATACAGTTGGTTCTGATGTTGTGATTGGAGGCACCGTCCCTCAACGAATTCACTCCTGCCTCTCTGTTTTGGACAAATTTTTGCAGCAGTCGCATCCAGTCGTTTCCAGCTTTGTACCCTATCAACCATCCGAAACCACCTCACAGAAATCATCAAAGCACAACGTACTCTCGACAGTGGCTAACATATTTGGTATGCTTCAACAATTTTACTCATTTAATTAACACAAAAACAGACATTTGTTCTTATCATAATACAGGCATTGTGAGTGAGAAGTATTATTTTTCGACACTAGGGTGCGCTGCGAGCATACCATATGGGTTGATCTTTTTGGTGTATTTTAAAGCCAATTGACTCACAACGTAATCATTCTGTTTTGAGACTAGACTCCCTTAATTATTTCTTGTATATGTGTATTTGTTACACGATTTATTATTTTTGCTTATAAAAAATTGTCATTTGAAGACGTGAGAATCATGTGTAAAAAAAGAATTGTTATAAAACACTTCTTACCTTGTCAAAAATATACCAGCTTTGAAATTTAAACCTAAATGATAATTTGTAAACTGAACTTAATCTCGCTGCTCCAACAATATGCTAACACTAGCATATGATGGTGCACAACCTGCAATAAGAACAGCAATAAAAAAGTAAAAAGAGTCCAAATCAGAACTGCCAAAAAAGCAAGTTCTTTCTAAATCTAGCAACCATGTCAAATTTTTTAACAATACATCTATAAATAACTGAAACAAATTTTCATTTCAAATTCACCATAATTACTTAATATCTTATGAAATACATTAGATTTGAGCTCAGAAATTACATCATTTTTTTTAAAAACAAAATTAGCTGTTTGAAAATATCACCTCGCAGAATAAGCCATAGTAAGCAGCTGTATACTTTCTAACTAGAAGTAGAACAAGTCAAGAACTCGAGATTGTTGTTGTTTACATTTATATTGAAAACAACATCCATTAATTTGTATGCGTTTTTACCTAAGCACTGCATTACTTTGCTTAATTCGCCTTTAAGTTTTAAACCAATTTTGATGAATATTTCACTTTGTTTATGAGTATTGCATTTATTGAATAGGTATCAAGGACATGTCCTCAATTAATCCTGAACAATCACTCGGTGAGCTCGGAATGGATTCTCTGATGGGGGTAGAAGTGAAGCAGTTCCTCGAGCGAGATTTCGATCTCGTCCTCACCGTGCCCGAGCTTAGACAGTTGAAGATCAAAGACTTGAAAGAGTTGGAAGGAGGTGCAGACAGCTCAGAAACTCAGAAACCCACCGAGAAAACAACTGCCGATGATGATTTTAATGCTTTCTTGCAATTCTCCTGGGACGTTAAGAAGCAGCTCGTTCCATCTTCGACCATAGTTCCACTGAATTCAGTCAAAAGTGGAGTTCCATTGATAGTCATTCATCCAATTGAAGGTACGACAGACATGCTGAAATCTTTGTCGAAAAACCTGAAATGCCCTGTTTATGGTGTTCAGTGCACTCCGGAAGCTCCGTCCGATTGCATCGAAAATTTGGCGGCTTGGTACTGGAAGGTAAGATCATACATAGTTTTATTACAGGGTTGCCACTCCACAGGGAAAAACTTAGAAAATACAGGGAAATTTAAAAATAACCTAAAAATAACAGGGAAAATGCAGGGAATTTTGTTTTGTATTTTCTTCTTTTAATAAATGGTGACCTCTCAGTGGGTAATTTAAGGGATATTTAAGAATATTTCAACTACATTAAACTATTTCAGTTATTATAGCATTGTTTAAACATGTTCAGTTGTTCTTTTTTTTCTCTAAATTTTTCCAGCAATTAAAATTAGTATAGTTAGCTCAACATAGCTGAAGCAAGAGAACAGTAGTTGTTGTGTTTCTTCTTAATATATTGTGTATAATCTGTACAGGGAAAACACAGGGAATTTTTTTCCAGATTTGAGTGGCAACCATGTATTAATATAGTTTTAACAATTTGATACAAACAATAACTAATCATACTTGGAACAAGAAAATGATATGATTCGAAAACATAGAGTTGTCATTCAAATAATTTTTTAAAATTTTGAGTCAACCTACTTTTTATAATTAGTACTTTTATCATTTTATTTGAATAGAAAAAATTTAATTTATTTTCCTGATCAAAATAATGTAAGAATAGTGCGCAGCTATTAACAAGAAAATGAAAACTCCAATAGATTTTATGAAAACGTTATGCTAAAAATAAAGAATATTAAAAAAAAGTATAAAAACAAGTTCTACAAAAAAAGTCACAGGTTTTTTTTTAATCATCCATGTAGAGAAATAAGTAATAACAGAAACTGTACATTATATTAGAAATCACAAATTTAAATGAACTGTAAATTTTTTTATTGCAACTGGTATTTTTTAATAGGACATAAATTAAGAAAATTATAATGTTCATTTTATTTGTAAATATATAATATTCATTTAGTTTAGGTAGGTATAATATATTCCTCAATAATGCATAGGTCAAAAAAATTTCACAATAACAAAAATTAAAGATTTCTGAACTAATTAAGAAAAATTAAGTATCTGTCAAAAATCTAGGAATCTAAAAAGATTTTATCAAACTTATCCATTTAATTGAAATAGCATATTTCTTAAAATTAATTTTCGATTTTAATTTCACTTTACTGTCTAGTAATATTACATATATCAAACAACAATAAGTCTTGTAAAATATATGCACATTATATATAAATTTTGTGGGGGCATTTTCCATTCTTAACTTAAAGAAACAAAAACAACTGGAAACTCCAGAACAGTTGGTACTTACTTATTGTAATGTTCTCTTGTTCTAATGATTGAAAAAAGCACAATATGATTAAATATTACTATAAAAACAGTATAGTACTAATACTATGAAAAAGACTTAAATAGATTTTACAAAATTGAGTAAATGACTTGAGGGTTTTTTCTTTTAATGAAGTTATAATATTACATATAATGCATTTCTAATAGCTTTTAATTTACAGAAAATTGATGCAGCAAAGGTCGGTAAAACCATCAACCTTGCCGGATACTCTTTTGGTGCCTCCGTCGCTTTCGAGATGGCGGTTCAGGCAGAACGTAATGGTAAGCAGCTGCACCCTAAAGTTCTAAGTGTGACCATGCTTGATGGATCTCCTGCACTAGTGACAACCTATACGAAAGACCACAAAGCTCGTTTCCTAGAAAATGCTGAGACCATGGGAGAAGCACAAGCACTCTGCTCTTTTGCATTACAATTTATTGATATTAAGATAAGTGAGGTAAGTCACCTGATTATTAACACCTAGTTATTATTATTTTTTCAATGAGCAGAAATATAAATTATTTTAATGTTCGCAATGTAGCTATCTGTAACACAGAGGGAACAAAGCTGATTTCATTTAATTAGAAAGATGATTACATATATATGTTTTAGTTTTATTAAGCATAGTTTTTAGTCGAGAAAACGAATGTTCAGTTTTTTGTCAAATGGATCAAACAATGTAACAAATATGCTACTCAATAAAACTTCCAATTTTCCTTGCTGCTGTGCATTTCGTTGTAATCGGGAAGCGTCACTCAGTTTCTATTTGTAAAGTTTTTGAATTAAAAAGAGTCAACTAACTGCCTCATTTAGTATTTATTGTACATGGCGCGTAGCGTTTCTAAAAAGTGCTTATTTTCGTGTTTTAAAGGTGCCTTTTTTATAGGGTATTTTTAAAAAGTACTGCATAAAAGTACATAAATTTACCTTTTAAAAAATGAGATTTTTTTCTTTACCATATTGATTTTCGCCATGTATTATTGAAAAGCGTGGTTTTCACATTGTTCTATTTAATGTTCATTCAACCACAAGGCATTTCAGCTCACCGTCGGTTCCCAGCGTATGAAAGCAGCAACATGTTTTTTTTTTTACATGTTTGAGGAAATATTCGCTGATCTGAGTGTGCGTAAACTCGCTGTGAGATTCTTTCTCTCTTATGTGCAACTCTGCTTCATTTTCCACCCTCTGAAACCGAACGGAAAAATCTCTTGATCTTTTTATGGTGGCTAATATGATCAAAAACAGTGTTCTTTGTCAGAAACTAGTTATTTTATCATGATCATGTAAAGTCTTTGAAAATTATTTTGTATTTTGTTAATGTATATAGTGCTTATTTTTTGTTAAAAGATTTGGCTATGAACAATGTTGTAACATAAAAACAATTTTTTTTTTGCAGCTTAAAGATGAGTTAGTGAAACTTCCCAGCTTCACTGAGCGTGTACAAAATGTAGCGCTGAAAATCTCAGCCGCACACCCTAGTCTAAAAGTGGAAGAACTCATGACAGCATTTGATCTCTACTACAAGAAGTTGGTCTTGTCACTGCAATACACTCCTCAATACAGGTTGAACAGGGACATTACTCTCATCAAAGCTGCAGACAGTGTCAATTTGACTAAAACATTCTCAGACGCCTATGATCTCGAAAAAGTAAGTGGATTTTTATGGCCTTGTATTTGAATACCTGCCAACATTGGAGAAATAAAATAACGGAGATTTTACTAGCAAAATATTTTAGGTTACGAGTAAAGTTTTGATACATCAGGAAAAAAAGAAACTCAAAATTGGAAATAATATAAGCACTTACATTTAGCGAAGTAAAAAATAGGTTAAAAAATATTGATCTTAATCTAAAGATTTTTTTAAATCATTATTTATAATTACTTAAACTATAGACACTCAACATACTGCAGTACAGGCAGTAGCACCATCTGTTGAGGAATAAGAGAAGTATTTTTGCCATCAGCGGATATTTTATTGCCAATTTCTTTTTTTTATTTTTAATTTATTCGACTAATACGGAGAAATTTGAGAATATATGGGTAAACAGGAGATAGTTATAAAATACAGGAATCTTTGTTAAAAAACAGGAGACTTGGCAGGTATGCATTTGTTTAAACGCTTCCTCTATTGAATATCATTGGAAAATAAAACATTTTGAAAAGCTCCATGAACATTGATATTGTAGACATCATTATTGGCCGAGAGCAAGAATGGATAAAATGTATTTGTCCTATGTCTAGGCTATTCAAAAGTGTGGTCACCAATCTTGACCAAAAGATCTGTAACAAACTGCAGTGGATCAGAAGATAGAGCATTTGCCTCCAAATGAGGTTCGAATTCCAGCGGTGGCTGGTTGAGAAAAATTTTGCTCACATGTCGCACAGACCGCAGTTCTGGCGTTGCGGTAGACGGATCATGGGTTTGAATCCCCTTGCCATTGGGCCAATTGTTGGCTGTTTTCCTCACCATCTAACGCAAATGCTGGTTAGTTAAAAATTCCATGAAGATGGCTAGTTTGTCCCAATATTTGATCCAGGAGTTTCGCTGTCTTCTGCGTTGGGTGCAAAATTATAAGGCCATAGAGTTGAACATTGATATTCATTAACTCAAAATTGGGTCAGCTGTTCAAAGCTGTATATAAAATAAAATAAAACAAACTTAAAGCAAAAAATAATAATTCCAAAAATAATTTTAAAATTAAAAGTTAAACAGTTGGAGTGTATAATAAAATAAAAATTAAAGAATCACAGTTAATTGTTTTTTACAGACATGCTTTAATTAGGAAAAAAAATGTTTGTCCATGAAGTAGAAACACTTTTCAACAATACTATGTGAATATTATCATTCACCATACAGAACTGAGGTGGCTGTCACAACTTGCAAACAGATTGATAAAATATATGTACACCTTTAAAGTTTGAAATTTTTTTTTGGCACTATGCAGCTGAAAATACAATCGTGTATGGATGGTCAAATTGTTTACATTTTTTGCTCTGTCAGGACAACAAAAAATTTTGATCATTTGTTAAAAAAGCAAAACACGTTGTTCTTCAGTTAGCAAAATATCCTTATTACCAAGAAATAATTGTATAAAACATTGTTTCAGTTAAATAGATTTATTTATTAGTTAATTTCACCATGTCTAATTATTCTTTGAAATACCAAATTATCAGTTTTTTAGAAAAATTTATTATGATTTTTTTTAATGACACTATATAATAATTAGTACTACGTATTTTCTTAATACAGTACACCATTTTTGCATAAGTATATTTTTAAATATTTCAAATACAATAGGTAATTTATATCACCTATATTTACTAAATATTATGATTCTATTTTAGGTTTGTGATGGAAAAATATCTGTTCATGCGATAAAAGGAACACATCAAACTTTTATTGAAACGAGGGAAATTTCAGACTTGTTGAGCAAAACGTTTAACAGTGGAGATTGAGCTTTTAAAAGAGACTGAATTCTTTGTATTTTAAATATTTTTTAAAAAAAATGCAGCTTATTTAAATCCCTGAAATGTTTGCGGGACAAATTAATTTCATGCATTTGTTTTCTTCTGTAACAAATTTGTATTATAGTTTTCAAATCATTGTTATGTTTTTTCGTTATTACAAAAGATTCCCATTATAAATAAGATGTATTTATAATTTGTACAGACTTGAAAGTGTGTTGTATTTTTATTATTTCTCTAATTTCTATGAATAAAGTGTTATTTTTAAAATTGTATCTTTTCTTAATTGTTCCTTTGAAGAAAGCCCTATTGATAATATTTAAGTTAGTATAATGAAGTTAAGAATAGATAGTAAAAGAGTACAGGATTTCAAAAACAATGTGTGCTAAAAACATATACTTCAGAAATAATTTCTAAAATTCTGGAGCAAATTTTAAAATGTATTAGGGCCAAATGGAGTAAAATGGCATTAAAACCAAATTGTTTCTAATTTTTTTAGAACAATTTAACCTTTTGGTCTTCTAAAATTCCAGTCCATTACATATAATAAAACTTCGGCGACATAATGTTACCAACTTTCCAAAAGCAGGTTTTATGAAAAATGGAGTAAAAAAAAAGTCTTACTTTAGACAATTATGTTTAGAGTTACAATATTTAATTTAGTTACATAAAGCAATTTTCTCTCTGAAAATCTACACTTCAGTTGATAAAAGGGCTGTCTTAATGATAAGCATGACCCCTGGAGACACATAAATATTTTGCGCACCTATAACATGTCATACTGTATAAAATCGATGCATGTACAAAAATTTCACATACAACAAATTGAGCATTTTAAAAGATATACATTTAAAAATAATTTCGATGGTAACCATTTATAACCATTGATAATTAAAATTTAAATAATTTTCAAAAAAATTTAAAGCTAATTAAATAAATAAAAGGTATAACTATTTATTTAAAATGTTAATGAACTATTTTAAATGAAATTTGTGAACTTTTATTGTCGTTTTAGCATTAGTGAAGCATTTTTAGACAAATGGACATGAGTTTAACTGAAAACTTTTTTTAATTACAGACAAGCAAAGAGAAAATGACTCTTTCACATACACTGAAATAAATTTTATGCATTGTGTGCTTATTCACACACTGAGTGGAGTTATGTGGAGCATATTTTAAGGAACGAAAGAAGTTATTTCTGAATTGTTTATTGGAAAACATTAATTTACAGTTTAAATAAAATATTAGGAAATACTTTTGAATAGTTTTTTTTAGTTTCAATTCGGGGCTTAAATTATTATTTGACATTTTTTTTTTATAAAAAAAAGGAAAACAAATTTCTCCCAATACTAGATCCAGGAGTTCCCTTGTCTTTTGGATTGACTTCAAAATTACAAGGGTACGGAATTGAACATTAGTAGGAAGTAAAAAATGGGTTGGCTGTTCAACGACGGTGATAAAATAAAATATATCATCTTGAAAAACTAATTAGAATGAATATATTTTAACAACTTAGCATGATTTTGTTCTTTATTTTTGAAATTTTTAATGTCTTAGTGCAACATTAATTTAAAAAAAAAATCAAGATAGATGCGGAGAAAATTAAGGATGCAAGATGTAACGAATATTCGGCAAATTACTTTTCTACAAGTTTTTTTTTTGGGNAAGGTTTTTTTTTTGGGGGGGGGGGGGAGGGGATTAGAAATGATTTAATAAAGAGTAATTAATAAGAGAGTATTTTTTACTATACATTATAAGTTCTAAAACTTGCACATCACTGTTCTGAAAGACGAATGAAAGAAAAAAAATTTGAAGAATTGAAACTAGAATAATGCTGATTTTTTCTTTAAAAACAAAATATATATATATATTCTGGCAAGTCAATCTCCATGCTTTTGGAACACTTTTTGTTTAGGAATTGAGAATAATTTTGTTTTGCTGGTTTCTGTTTTTATTATAACGCATCATTTTAACGGACATTTCTAATAGACTTAATACTTTTACTGTCACTTTTTCCTTGAACGGTAAGACAGACAGGTAATTATGATTTTCAACTTTAAAATTATATTTTAAGAACTAAAAACAATTTTTTTAAATTTATCTTTTGCTTTTTTTAATTAACTTTTTTATCAGTGTTTACATTATGACACAGAACTTTTTAAAAAAGTTTCGTCAGAAAAACTTTTTTAGCATCCTTTTTTTCTAAAAAAGTGAAAACGTTTAATTCCCCCTCCCCCCGATTTTTTCTTGAAAATACAGTAATTGGCACACTACACTGAGATGCTAAGTTTTAAGCTTTTCGTTTAAAAATTAAGATCGATTTTTGTTTTGCTGGTGTATATTATCTTTTTTTAATGGAGTTTTTATGATAGTGCATTATTTTTAAAAAGCGTTTTTGATAAACAATATCCCTTTTAACGTTTTATGTATACTTTCGAAAAATATTTTTACCATTAAAGTTTTATTTTAAGATTTAGTAGAAATTTTTTTTCTATTTCTCGTTTTTTTCAACTTTACAAATTTAATTTAATAGTTTTTTGTCATTTTTTTTTAATATTTAGTTTAAATATTTTTAATGAATACGTATTATAGTTTTTCCCCCTCTACCTGGCACCAACAATATAGTAGATTATTTTTCAATAATGATTATTTCATAACTCTCAAAAATCAGAGGCCGGAGACAGAGGCATGAGTTAAGTTCTGATAAAAGCTTTAAGTTATGTCTATACACTGAAAAGCAATATAAAGAACTAAATTTATTTGATATCAATAAAAGATAAAAGGCGTAATTAAATAAAAATTTATTTAAAGATATAACTAATATAATTTAAAAAATTACAAAAATAGTAACAAATAATATAGATACAGTGTAAATAAAGATTAAATTATCGTGCTCTCTTAAAACTTTTTACCATCAGTTAGTTCAGAAGGTTTCTAATTTTTTGTGTGCTCCATATGATGATTTACAACTTTCCAAAATAAATTTCCACTTCAAATGGAAATTCCTTAGAGTCTAAAGGCTGTCTAAAGAGTTGAGCATGCTGCCAAGCTTGTGGACCAATACCTTCACATAGTTCAGCAGTAATTATGAGATCGGTGGCTGCTCCTTCAAAGTCAGAAAATGTCTGCCGCAAGACTGAAATTTAAAATTTGATATTTTTGACATCTTACTCATAATTGCAATTACTAAAACATGAAATTTTTGACATTTTACTCATAATTACAACTATTAAAATATTAAGAACATGACAATTTCTCATAATTTTAACTATAAGAATATGAAATTTAGAATATTTACTCAAATTTCAATTTTGGAAAATGAAAACCTTAAAAGAAAAAACATACTAAGATAATTAATTCTTTCTTTCCCTAAGTCAACACTCAATAAAAATAGATACTCCTCAATATATTACAGACTCATTAAGTTTCACAATATTGCAGCCTCATATTACACACAGCCTCATACTACACAGCCACAATATTACAGCCTCATATGTAAAGGCAGGGAATATGTAAAATGTATAAAAAAAAAAAGCAAAATGCAGCACCAAAAAATTCAAGACTCAAAAGCAATTATTTTATAATTAACTACCATATTTCTCAAATAAAATCATTATTTTTGCTTTGATTTGGATCATTTGATGAAATTCTTTTATTTTTTCTAATTGATTAAATTCTCTGACCAACCTCATTCATAACTACACTGTAAAATGAAATGACACATATTTTCTAAATATAATCGGATAAGGGACAGTAGGCAATATTTCGAAAACCTTGTTAGGTCAAAAAAATATTTTTCCACCCAGCATTATATATCCAACTAATGCTAATTGGAATTTTTGTGTCAAAGGGTTTCTTCTCAAAACCTTGCTATGCCAAATTTTTTTCTGAAATAGAAAATGAACTTTTTTTCACAAAAATCACAATGTAAGTTCATTGTAGCCCAATTATTTTCTATTTAATGCATACTAATTATTTCTGTCTTACTTTTAAAAATAAAATTATCATTGTTGTATTTAGACTTATAGTCAACTATCACTACATACATATTTAAAAGTAGCTATTCTACTTCGATGCTAAAACTACAAAATTGTATAAAATATTTGAAAAAATATACCCCCAATATATCAAATGACTATAGAAATTTGTACTCTCCTTTGAGGCCCCCTGTAAAAATATGAATGCAATGAAATTAAAAAACTACAGACCTGAATTAAGAAAAACTTTTTCAAAACATCCTCTAGAGCTTTTGATAGTCCATTTTACTTTACCATCTTGGAATGTCGTACCAAGAAGATTCAGTCTCAGTTTTTGAATGGCAAGACCACTATTTTCAAAATCAAATTTCCATACCATCATTCCCTTAGGAGATCCTTCTGTACGTGCAAGATAAGCCGTTTTCCAATCAGTCTCCACTTTTCTAAATATATTTTTAATATCGAAAACATACGTGTTCCAATTCTTGCACCTGCAACGATCGGCAGCAGAAATTCGAATGTATTCGTCGAGAGCACAACTGTATTGAATGTGGAAGTACCTTCTTTGCACTTCAAAGTCCCCCAAATTAAATGTGTACGAAACGGATACATCTTCAGCATCGATTTCTCTTCTCGCTAATCTCCAAGCCACAGAACCAGATGTACGACCTCCAAGTTCCTCCTTATTTGGTTTAGGAGGAGTTAAGAATTCAGACAGTTCCGAAACTTGCCTCTTTAAAAGAAAGTCCAGTTTCTCTGCTGTTGCATTAGATCGGCACCTTTTGGTGCAGTAGTTGATCCAGGATAAGACGAAGCTCTCCCGGCATTGGTACATCAATCTCCTCCTCAAAACTTCCGCAAATTCACAAGAATATCGCCAAGTAACGTCCTGAGCTTCATCTTTTGAGAAAGCAATAACATAAGAAAGCTTCTTTTTCCAACCCACTTCATACAATAAGGGCTGGTCACATACATTTTCACATGGATCGCAATGAATCCATTTTTGTCTGGAGGGCGAAAACGTTTCCGTCCACAAATGGTCCGTCCAATCAACAATTAAACGCGCATCTAAATCCAATGCTCTGCAAATAAGAGTAAAGCAAATAGCCCACTCTCCACACCTTCCCTTTTTAGTGTCAAGCAACTTCCTCGGATGGTTGTAGCGTGGAAAGCGGGTATACGTTTTACAAACAGAACAATAGTAGTTTTCAACAGTTTTTGCAAACCACACTGACTCTTCTTGTGTCGGCTCAATGGAACCTCTACTCTCGGTCGGCTGGCCGCAACGATGGCATTCTGGCGCATCTACCCAGGAGAAAAACGAATATTTAAACCACTGAAGAAGCTCTAAAACCAGACAATCTTCAAAGCAGTAGCAGACATCATCTTTTAGTGTTGAAAGAGTTTGAGAAGCTTTTATAGTTAAATCGTCGATTGGAATGCACTGCAAAGCATACTGGTGAATACTGTCGTCTTCTATTAGCTTTATGAGTTGAGAAAGCCATAATAATTTTCTCCTGAATTTTTCTTCATTTTTCTGAAGAAAAAAAAAAGAAGTAAAACACATTTGAAACATAAATATAAGCTTTATGAGATGAGAAAGCCATAATAATTTTGTCCTGAATTTTTCTTCATTTTCCTGATGAAAAAGAAGAAATGTAAAACACATTTGAAACAAATGGCTTATACTTTAAAAATATTTTTTGCTTGAAATATAACAGCAAACAGTTACTTAACATTTAAAGTGTTTTCTATGGAACAAGCATTCTTATTTCTGTTTTATAAACTGATAAAAATATTTAAGGTTTGCAAACTATCTGTTTACGATCAACTTATAAAACATTTTATTTTAAGCTGTTGATGAACTTTCTTCTAATATCATTAAAAACTGTTAGTTTTAGTTCAAACTGGCAGAGGGACATCTAAAGAACAGATCTGCATAGAAGTTTAAGAATAAATTTCAAAATTCTATTTACTATTAATTGTTTTCTGCAGTGGAGTAAAGTACATAATGGGGTAAAGTATGAGAAGGATATTTTTAATACTTCTGTGTTAGCTTTAGAAAGTTTCCAATGCTCTATATTTTATAATGAAATATCAAAAAAATAATTTATTTGGTTGACTAATTTATTTGGTTGATTTGGTTATTTGGTTGGTCCTACATACTAATTTTAATGCTGTAAACAAAATTTCTCTTAAATTTAATTTTTAAAGAGAAGAATGTATATTATACAATTAAAAAAATTACCAAAATAGTATAATGGAGAAACTTAATGGGCATACTTAAAGGTATAGATGAATTTTAATGCAAGTTTCTGCCTTCATATGACAGTTTTTTCATGGAAAACAAAACAATTTCCTTAAAGTAACTAAATTCAATAAAAATAGTCTGCTATAAATACATAGTAAAAACACTTTAAATTACCACTATAGATATTAATTTTTACACTTTTATTTATGTTTCAAATAAACCAAAAACTATGACTTTTCTTGATTTTTGATTAAATTGTGCAGAGTTCAGCAAAATATACTGCATACGAAGTGAAACCTAATTTTGATAGCCATAAACTCTTCAATTTAATAACATAAAAAAAATTTGTTTTTTTTTAGAACATGTTTTTTTAAAGTATAATCATGGTACATTTATTTTAGACCATTTTTATTTCTTAAACAATGTTTAGATATGCTTTTTAGTGAAAGATATATTAATTTTAGAACTATACCCACTTTACCCCACTGTGGGGTAAAAGGGGTACATCAAAACATGTTCTTTTGAATGCATTACCGCAAGAAAACAATCAAACAAAATAGATAAATTATGCTTCAGATTTAATATTTATTAATCTAATTTATATAAAATGTATCAAAATTTTCAGTAAAATAAATTTGATGGTCTGGTTTTAGAGCCTTCCTTAAAAAAAGCTTGATTTCATACCCACTTTACCCCACCTGACGCTATTAAATATTTAGTCACCTCATATTGTACGCTATTTTAGATCTAGTAAAATCATAAAAAATATTCAGAAAACACCTTTCCAAAGTCAGGAGGTAATCATGTGACAACTATTTCTTTTCTTATCTTATGTCTGTTTTTAACTTCTTAGTTCTATCTTTTTTTTTTTTGATGATTGAATTGGATTTATTTAATTTTTACTTACACATTCCCGTAAAAGACTCCAGAGGGTCAGCAAATAGCATGTATAGGTGGCAATTTTGTCAACATTATGCCTTTATTCCTAGACATGCTGATAGATCTGAAGCTGGAAACAAACTAAAACTTTTCGAGATACGTTCTGCATTATTATTGGTAAAATTCGTCATGAATTTGCTGTCATAGAAAAATCAGATGCTAACATTTTAAAATATTAACTTAATTTAACATGTCTCTCTTTAAGCAATGCTCTTTCACCAACCTAATACTAGTAACAATGAAAAAAATATTGATAAGCAACTTACAGTAACAGGTTCTATGACGGCAAGAGGAACATCTAAAGACGCCATTTCTAACACTAATTTCTTGTTGGTAGATTCAAAACTGAAAGAAAAAGACAAACTATGATAGAAGAATATAATTATAATTTCTAAATCAAATTGAAGACAAGGGAATAGTTAATGCCAGTCTGAAAATTCTTACACTTATGGTATAACACATCAGAGAAATAATTTTGTAGAATCTGCAATTGTAATTAAGATCTTAAAGTATGTTGAAGCAGTACTTGTAATCTACCTGACTAATAACACGCTGCAAATGGAGAATAAGAACACAATTTAGTAGAACACTATTTTAGTAGGTACACATCCTTTTTGGTATATAGCTGACCACCAATAGCCGCAAGTTTGTAACTTTAGCCAAATGCTTCCAATAGAACATAATTGAGGAATGGGGAAAAAAAAAAGTCATTGGTCCTTGATATAAGACAAATTACCAGATATAGATCTAACCTTGTTGTCTCATGCTAGGAACTTCAGATAATGCTTAATGAGAGATGCAGGACTGAGTCTCCGATGAAATCTCTAGCTTGATCAAGACAGAATGTTAACCATGATGAATACATAATTGTAAGTTGTCACACAAGGTTTCTTAAGCAGGGTACTTCAAGTTCCAATACTGCATTATCAGGCCGACTTTTGGAAAAATTTCTTCAAGTGGTAGTCTTAAGTTTATGCATTAATGTATTATTCTTTCATTTAGAAATTTGATTTAAAGAAATTTCTCACATCACAACTTGTAAATGATTCAAAGACCACTTTGTTCCAACCCTGTCATGGTAAGACTTTTAAAATGTCAGAAAAATTACCAAATATTTTGTAAGCTTTTGTTTTTAATAGCCTACCGCTCAATAAAATATTTTGCAAAAAGCGTAGCAGTTGGCAGCTTTTCATTATTTTAACATGGTGGCCCATAATCTGAGAACTTTTCTGAACCTTGCCCAAAGGTGTATTGCGATAAAGGTAATTGGTGTATTGCTAACTATTGATCTGCTACTAAGAATAGCTACCCGCCTGTCGCTTAGTTCAATGATGAACTGCTGTGCAAAACTCAAAATTTCAACTAGCTCTTCAGTAATTTATTAATCGCAGATAAAAATGAATGAGCACATAAAACAGTCACAATATATAAAACATTAAAATAATAGACGAACAATAAAACCGAAATTAAACACTTATCAGGAACAACCTTTCAGCTCATAGGAAGAACAACTGAAGATACTGTCACCAAATGATGTTCTGCAACTTTTAGTTCCGTCAGAAATTGTTCAAACGGCATTCTGTAAACAGTTTTGTTGTATATCTAATGATCAAATTTATTATATTTAACACTGGTTGCCCAAGGAAGTCATTTTGACTGCTTTTTAATTTCAATTAGAAAAACACTGATGACAAAATTTCTTAGAATTTTGTGACNAACTTTTAGTTCCGCCAGAAATTGTTCAAACGGCATTCTGTAAACAGTTTTGTTGTATTATCTAATGATCACATTGATTATATTTAACACTAGATTGCCAAAGGAAGTCATTTTGACTGCTTTTTAATTTCAATTAGAAAAACATTGATGCATATAATGAAAATTTTTTTTAGAATTTTGTGACGTTTTGCACAACATATAATTTTTTTCTTATTGTTAATATTTACTAATAACATGCTAGACAACTGCAAATAATGTAAAAATATTAAAAATTAATTTTAAACAAATTTCTTTACACATTAGTTATTCTTTCACAATCCAGTGATTTTGGCTGCTTTGGGGTAATATAGGTATACACTAAGTTTCAGTCTTTCAAGGGTTAAGTCTATTCCCAATTATACATATATTTCTTTAAACTTTTGATAGGGAAGTAACGAAGGGTAGGGATGTAACGAATATTCAGCCACTAAGCGGTCTTTTTGCTGAATATTCGGCAAAGTTTTTTTTAAATTTTTGGGGGGATTTGAATTGATTTCATAAAGAGTAATCTAAAATCGTATTTTTAATTATACATTATTAGAAAATGGCTTTTACACATATTTGTTAAATTCTAAGACTTGCAAACCTTTGTTTTGAAAGACAGATGAAAGAAAAAAATTTGAAAAATTGAAATTAGATTAATTTATACTGAATTGCGAGTTTTTTTGTACTGCTGACTTTTTTAAAAATTATATTCGAGCATGTCAATTTTGTCGTTTTTCCAAAACTTTTTGTTTATATATATTTTTGTTTTATTATTTACAAATATTTTTGTTATGCTTCTTTTCCAGAGTTTTTGTTTTTATAATAGCACAGAATTTTAACAGAGCATTGTAATTTTTTTAATTGGACAATAAAAGAATTCAGTCCATTTAGACTGAATTCTTTGATTGACTGTACTGAATTTTCCTTTACGGTAAACATAGTACATATTGTGCATACATAGTACGGTAAACATACAAACATGGTATACTAAACTTACCGATAACATAGAAAATTGTGATTTTTAATGTTAAAATTATATTTTAAGAATGAAGAACATTTTAATTCATTTATCTTTTGAATTTTAGGTTAACTTTTCTTTTTATCCTAGTTTTTTGTTTTAACAGTACTTTTTAAAAAGCGTTTCGTATGAATGTTGTTTTTAACCATCGACTTTTTTTAAAAATATGGCAATGGGAAAAAGTTAATTGAAATTTTTCTTGAAAATACAGTAATTGTGAAACTGGGAAGCTCAGTTTTAAACTATTCGTTCAAATATTAATATAAATTTTTATGTTTCGCTTTTGCATATAATCTTTTTTTAATGAGTGGTTTTAAGATAGTGCGACATTTTTTAATGAGTTTCAGAAAAATTATTTCTCATTTAACATTTTATAGATATTTTTTTCCTAAAAAATATTATTTTTAGCATTAGAGTTTTATTTTAAGCATTAAGAGGATTTTTTTCTTATAACTTCAAAATTTTTTTTAAAATAGTTGTTAGTCAGTTTTTTTTTATTTATCTCAAATTTCTAATGGATAAGTATTATAGTTTCCCCCCCCCCTTTAACCCATACCAATACAGTTGATTATTTTTCAATAATGACTAAACTTATTCATAAATAAACAATAATATTTATTAATGATTTTTTTTTAAAAAAAATGTTGCTATTGGGTATTTGGCTAAATCACTATTCCTTACATCCCTAATTCCTAGAAGTCAAAAAAAGTTTATCTTTCATTTTCTTACTGATATTTTATCTAGAAAAAAAAATCTTAAATGAAATACAGCAAATTTTTTTAAATAATATAATCAAACTTATTAATTATTTATATCCACGCTTATCCTTAATGTATTTTCAACTGTTGTGATATTAATTCATGTGTAAAATGCTATTAATTACATGAATATTAACAAAGAGAACAATTTCCATTTATAATAATATTAGAAATAATAATATAGAATATTTTCAAGCATATTCTTCAAAAGAATATTACTAAAAGTTTTATATTTCTAGAAATATCTAATGTAAAATGTTAACCATTTAATTTGAATTCTTAAAGTTTATGATGTAGGTTTTGAGTTTGCGTGTTTTAAATGTAGACAGAGTTAGATTTTTGACAAATTTCAAAAATTGGTTAAAAACGTCCAGGATGAAACTCTAAACATTGTATTATTTCACACATTATGTGCTCATTCCTAATTCTTAATAATTACATTAAAGTAAAAATTATAGTTCAAACTATACCTTTATTGCAATTTCAATAATCTTAGTTAATTCTAATCCATATAAATTTAATAAAATGGATTCTGAAAGTTACAAATTTCTTAATTAAAATGCTGCAGATTTCCTACGAGCAACGAAAAAATATTTTGTTTACAGATTAGATTGCAGAAGAGTACTACGAGCTGTTTGATTAGCTTATAGCTTTGTACTTCCATTAATGTATCTTATTGTTGAGGCTTGGTAGATAGCATTAAGTTGCAGTATTAGGTTGTTGTTGTTGTTAATTTACGTCGCACTAGAGCTGCACAATGGGCTATTGGCGACGGTCTGGGAAACATCCCAGAGGATGATCCGAAGACATGCCATCACAATTTTGATCGTCTGCGGAGGGGATGGCACCCCCACTTCGGTAGCCCGACGACCTGCGCGCGAAGTCGAGCACTTTACGGTAGCACAGTTTAACGAGGACCAGTACCGCACACCCTCGGTCCCTACGCAGACTGATCCAAGTGGTCACCCACCCGCACACTGACCGCAGCCAGTGATGCTTGACTTCGGTGATCTGCTGGGAACCGTGTCTTAGTGATCAGTTCACTGCGGGACTGCAGTATCAGGTAAGAAGCGGTTTGTGGCTTGGAAGAATTTGTAGAGGGATTGGAGTTTGATCCGAGGGATGGAAATGCTGGATTCTGAAGAGATAAGCAATGGTAAAGTTCTTTACGAGCATTCTGAAATGAGCGACAATTAAAGACGAGTAAGAACTGCCCGTAAGGACAGGTCGCTGTTGTAGCGCAATGTTTTAGGGCTAAGAAAATGGCTAATCTTGGGCCAATAAAGCCAGTAAATTAATAAATCCAGTAAAGCAATCAATGGCAAATAAAGACCGATGCATGAGGAAAAAGCCGACCAGAGATCGTCTACCCTTTGGAGGCATATATTCCGACACCAATTTTGTCTGATTGCTTGGATCCATCGGTTGCAGTTTAAGAGATTCTGATGGCGAAACTGTTAAAACAGAGCTCGAACCTGTAATGGGAGTAACGTTTTATTTTGAAATGGTAAATTGTAGAGATAAGTTGAACATTTGAAGAGATTTGAGTTGGAGGATGATTCAATAACTTTATCTTGAGAAATATTTTTGCTGTTCATCTATAAAGAGTATAAGTGGAGTCATTTTACCCTGTGGAAAGCTGGATGGATTGAGATGTAGTTGATGGTAAGCTGGAGAAGATGATTGGAGTGAGATGTGTCGTAAATATAATTTTGTTGTTGTTGTTAATTTACGTTGCACTAGAGCTGCACAATGGGCTAAAATATAATTTTGCAGATATCCATTTAATGTCATGAAGGTAGTATACTTACTCCCACTTCTTTGAGAAGCAGTGGAATGGGTGTCCACTATAGTTGTCACACGTAGTGCAGCATTGAATAATACGTCTAGAGTTCGTAGACTGGTTTGTCTGGAAAAGGAAAAGATGTGGCTTCTAAAGTCAAGGATGCTCCTGATACAAGAGTTTAGAATTCGGAGCAAGTGATCTGATTGATCATCCCAACATAAGATAGAGATACATATAACCGTCGTTGGACAGTCGACCCAAATTTTGGGTTTACGACTACTAATGTTCAACTCCGTAGCCTTGTAATTTTGAATCCAATCCAGAAGACAAGGAAACTCCTGGATCAAGTATTGGGATAAATTTGCCTTCGCGGAGGACTTTCTGATGGAACCAACCCGCATTTGCGTTACATGGAGAGGAAGATAACGAGAACCTCCCACGGTTAGCCTGGCGGCAAGGGGACTCTAACCCATGATCCGTCTACCACTAAGGATATTTCACGTCAGCGCTGCTGTCGGTGCAAGCTGGATGCGGAATTCGCATCGACCAGCCATCGCCGGGAAAATAGAGATACAGGGAAATACAGAGAGTTTCTTTAGGATTTTCCGTTTTAACACTCTGAAGTGATAGTGAAAGGACATGTTGCTAGAGAAATGTAGGCTGAGTATTCTAAGGCTTTTAACCCAGGCGATTGGTTCGTTGGAAATGTTAAAACTGAAATTTTCGGCAAGCCGTCTCCTAGAGAAGCTAATGGTAGTACTTTTTTTCTGGGACAATTTCCAGGTTCCAATTATTACATCATTTCTGAATTGGTGGAAAGAGAATTGCATCTTGTGCGTAATTTCGTAACTGGATTTTGCCACAGCAATAAGATAAAGATAGTCTCCGAAGACAAAGCATAGTACGTCACCAAGGAGACCCAGATGAAAGTCAGTCATGTAAATCATGAATGACTTTATGTTGTTGTTGTTAATTTACGTCGCACTAGAGCTGCACAATGGGCTATTTAAAAAACACTTGGTTTCAGTG